GTGTGGGATGTGCGCTCGGGGACCAATTACGCCCTGTCCGAAGGGGGCAGCGTGGCTAGCAGCATGCTGTTCCCTGTACTGGCGATAGCAATAGACGACGAATCCCGCTGGCTTGCGCTGTTGTCACGTTACCGGGTCGCCTTCTTCAACCTCTCAGAGCGGACTTGGGGTGCTTCAATACCTGTCGACCTCGGTGGATATCGGCCTGAGGCAGCCTTCTTCTCTCCAACGACATCCAATCTTCCGCCTTTGTTCATAATTGTGCGCAAAAATGGCACCTTGATCGAGTTCAACGTCGAACAGGGGGAAGGCAGTGCAGATTTCGTGATCTGCCCAAGCCCCCTGGTCTGCGCTGAACCGGTCGTCAATAAAGGTAAGAGGATACTGATATGTGCTTGTCTTGCTGTGGGATCAACATTGACACCTCTATTCGTGTAGGCACCAACCTTTTGCCCTGGCGACTCTCCGTTGTGACAGCGTCCAAGTATGGATGCGTGCACAGAAGGGGATGTGTCCATGTGGCATCTCGTGATAAGAACGGTTGGGACTCGAGAGAAGTACCACTCAGCTCAGTGGGCTATCAAAAACCCCACCAAATAGTTTCCATGCCTGCGCTTGGGTTGTTTCTCGTTGCGTCGGTTTATAAAATCTTCATCTTCAACGCAGAAAGCCTGGAGATTCTGCATATCATCCACACGGAGGCCATGAGACCTCGCTCCTTACAATGCGCGTATTCCTACCAGCGGCTGTATGTCGGAACGCCGGGAATGACGACATCGACGATCTCGTATGTTGGAGTTGAATCTGGGGATTGTATCCTTCACACTTTTGTCCCCTGTGAGGACTTTGACTGTATCGGTCTGCGGAGCTCGTCCAGTCTGCTGGACGACGAAGGCTGCGAGTGGTCCGAGGCCAAGGAGACTATTAAGCGGGTCAGGAATCCAGGCCACTTCAAGGTCCTGACCGATGCCAGCCTGGTGGGCGTGCGACGCAAGCTGCCGCGCGACCACGACTTCCTGAACGGCGCTGGAGGTGCTGCCGGCGAGGGTCTGCGGAACCGGTTCGCCAACCGCGTGGCGGCTGCTAAGAGCTCCCCGAAGCAGTGGGAGGCCTGGACGCGCTCACCGCCATCGGGCCGAGCGGTCACACACGAGTCGCAGCTGATCGTGGACGACGAGGAGCGAGGCAGCATCTTCATCTGCGATGTGGGACCCAAGGTCAAGGTCGGGCTGATGTCGGCTGCCTTTTGCTTCGGAAACACGATCAGGCTGGTCACGGTGGGAGCGCCTGAGCGTTTCGACATTGGACCGGACGACGCAGAGGGCTGGCTGAGCCTGGCCAGCAGACGACGAAAGGTTGGGAATGCCACAAAAATGAGGACGTGGAATGGATTCGTCAATGGCGAGTGTTGAGAGGGGAAGTTACGAAAACGCGGTAAAGAAGATTTCTCTATTGTTTGGGTCTATGGGTAACACGAAGAAAACGGCTACGAGAAAAAGAGGCTTACATATACGGGAAGCACAGATGGGCTGCGGCAGGTGTCGGCGTTGGCGCAAAGACGATCTTGGTTCTTCTTGTTTTTTTTTATTCTGTAACATCCTGGATACATACATACAAAGCATACTCACATACACTATTCAATGTCTATATACTTAACTCTACCTCTACTCTTTTCGGCGTTTATTGGGGATCGTTAGATGGGCAAAACGGCGCCATAGACAAGAAAAGAGCTTCTCAAGCAGCCTGAAAGTGTGATGATGGGCAACGGCATAGCCCTCGGATTTCCGGCTAAAGCAACTACGCTTTGACAAAGATTAATCTGACTGGCCTCATTCCTTTCAGCTGACTCTTACGAACAGGCGTTCTCACATTACACAGGTTTCTGCTGGTCGGATAAGGGCATGATGAGTGCTCGGGAGTGGGCTGCTTTGCAACTTCGCACTCAGACATAAGTTGCGGGTTCGCGGGACGCTTCGGTCAAGGTCTCAGACGTGAGTGTCTTAGACAAGAGGGAGACGTGAGACACAAATGCAAGGACGGACGGCACAAACGTGTCTTGCGTGTCTAGGTGCGCATGGAAATGGGGCAGCCGGACTACAACGTCGACTCTTCCCTCAGGGGCAGCGATCCATACGCATCCACGCGCGCGTTCCGCGTCGTGGTGTGTAAGAGAGAGGCCCGTTCGCGAGACGCCAGAAGTGCGCTCTTCACCTTCCAATGATCCGTTCTCCGCTCCTTTCTTTCTCCAGCTGGGACGCTTTGCGCCGCCAAGCCCTTTGGGGAGGAGCTGGCCGGATGCTAATTGCCCTTCACCATAGCCTAGTCCCATTAGTTGGGTGAGAGGTGAGCTTGGTGGAAAAAAACTAAACAAACGAATCAGTGCAATAGTTTAGGCCTGGCCGCAGTTGAGGCGGCCGGGAGGGCCAACGGAGGCCGGAGACGCGTGCCAGCCAACTTGGGAAACAAAAAAACGGGAGGCTGGGGAATGACATGGAGCGGCCAATTCGCTGGCTGGATTCCGGATGGAGGGGCGGAATGATGACAGCAGCGGCCAGCTCGTGCGACCTCCTCTTTTGCCCTATCGCGACCCAGACTTACATCGAGTTTTGCCAACGTCGACGGCGATTTCTATTGATCGAGAGGAGTTGGAAGGGGTGGGTGGGGTGATGTGTCTGTTCGGGAGTAAGCTTGACGTGGTACTGCCCAAGGCTGAGACTGAGGTTTATTTCGTTGGATTCATGCCCGGAGGGTCTGAAGTCGCATCTGGGCTCTGTTGTTGGCCCGGTCGTGCATATGACCAAGGCTCGATGCGACGGTGCTCTGTAGTTTGGACGCCAATCGAGGATGAGAGTTGGGCATCCAATTACACGACTCTGTTGTATTAGGCATATTATTCGAAGGTGCTAGGCACTGATATCTGCCATAGCCGCCCGTCGGCATTAAGAGCAACAGTCTCCATGCCATGCCATGCGGAGAGTGGTTGGCAGTCTGAGCTTTGGCAGGAACACATGGAAAGAGTGGACGACCAAGAGGGAAAGAAACATTGCTTCTTTCGACACACGGTGCTGGCCGAGGCCAATTAAACACGAGCAATTAGGGCCGGTCGGGTGATGTAATGTACCTGCCTGCTAATAATAGGAGAGAAGCTACATGAATGCTACACCCATACTGTATGTACGCGACCTGAAATTTGGGGATCGGAAGGCGCGCTGGGGGTTAGTAATAACGGAAGCTGGGAAGGCGCAGGGGACTCACTCCAGAACCGAACTACATGTGCCAACCTCAGGCAGGGAGAATCATGGAGGCTGATTCTCTTCCAGTCAACCCACTCGCTGGTCCTGGTGCGAGTGTGCTCAGTCCGCTCTCTCTGCGAACAGAACGCCCAGCATACATGCGCCCTCCTGCGCGCGCCAAGGTATCAGTTATGCTTGCTTTTCTTAGTATCCTAGACCCTGCTGGCGTTCAGCTCACCCTGCCACCTCACCCTGACCAGCTCCCGTAATCATGCAGCGCAAGGTGCCAGACCCTGGTTCATCCACGGCCGTCCATCTCCACACAGGCGACCTTAGCCCGGCTTTCCTTACGAACTTGGGTAGTGGCAGCAAATTGATTTTGCTCGCCAAAGCGCACGCCTGCCTTGCCCGTACAAAATTAGACGGTGCGGTACCTGGCCAGGTGCTGGACGCGTGCCGCGATGCGATCGCAACCCAACCCCCATCTAGAAGCGTTCACTGTTTCCCATCCTCTGCCATCCTCGCCCCAGTGGACAAGTCATCGTGCAGCAACCGCCAGTCACACAGCATCTCTCCTCGCGACCCTCAGTGGTCTGTCAATTGCCTCGCGGCCGGATTGGGCACTTTCCTGGGCTAATTGGACACCCATTGAATCCCGTGGGCCTCGCTCTGACCCTGGTTCTGGCTCTGGGCGGTTTGGTTGGCAAGGGGGCCGCCAACTCTTCACATCGTGCGTGTGGATGGCATGCGTTTCGCCTGACATCTTGGATGCACGCGCAGATCCTGCGGTCTGCTCTATCGCTCTTCACCTCGCCCCCCGGATCTGGAGCCCAACCAGCAACCCATAAGCTAGCCGGTCTTGCGATCCAGCTAGACGGCGAGCCTCTCGATTCGACGGACCCATCAACCTCACCGCCCAATCCCCCCTAGGCCTCCATACATACATCACGCCTAGCCCCAGCTGCCTGCATTGCGCATACATCATACCTGGAAGGTTGAACCTTGCTCTCCTGCATTCCCACGATTTCGAATCTGTCTCCTTACATATTCCACGGCGGACTCCTGGAACTATGCCCGCGTGGTGGGTCTGCTGCCTCATCTAGCTCTTCCCACTCGCTCGCCATCCTGCTCGCGCCTCTCTCACAGTCAGCTTCATAGCATCATCTCATGCGCGCTGGCCTCTTAACACGCTCGTTACACTCATTCAAGTCTTGGTAGACTCACCTGCCTTCTCCTGTGTCCAATTGGTTTGTTTGTTGTCCAGTCTGCCACCACGGCTTCAACGTTTGCTCTTGCCGAGGTTTTCAGTCAAGCAACCTCAGTTCTGTTGAGATCAGAAAGACCTCGCCCTCTCATTCATGTGCCGATATTGGAAAGCTTGACAAAATCAAGATCTTGATCCTCATGTCGCACGCAGTGGAAGATCGCTCCCATCTCTCTCATCTTCCCAATTGACGTCTCCCGCCACCAGCAACCACATCCGCTAGCTCGAGGACCCAATCATAGCTTGCCAGCTGTCAACCAACCTAGTAGTTCGACCCGGTTGCCCATTCCGTCTCCATTCCTCTCATCTGTCGTCATATGCAAGGCTGTGTGAGCTGCGACTTGGCTTAGTTTGCAGTCCTGAATCCTTGTATCTCTGGGCGTATCATAGGTTTCTATTGAAACCTTGAATACCCCGCCATTGTTGCGCTTCACCACAAACGACTTGTTTTCAACCTCGCAACTTGACCTACGGTTGAAAACAGACCAGCTGATTCAGACCGCATGGCATCCTCTGAGGTGGACCAGAAATTCCTGGGCAGGCTCGCTGAGGCTGTGGAACATGACAATCCTTTACTTTCAAATATGCTCTTCAAGATCCTTGGTTTATCTCTAAGCCTGGCTAAGCAGCTTGTCGCAGCAAGAAAGGAGCGCCGCCCAGACACACAGTCATCCCCGAATGCTTTGAGGCGCATCTTGCATATTCTGTGGCTCTCGCGCGAAGGCCTCGTGATGCTCGATCAATACGTCGTCCCTATGGTTGGGAACTACGTCGAGTTGAAAGTCCTTGCATACAAGCTCCGTGCCAGCTTCAATTATATCTTCGTCCTTTTTCACAACAATCCTCCGGTCTCAGATATGGCGAGCTTGACCCCAGACATGATTGCCGCCGCCGCACCATCATCAAGGCTAGGAAGAGAAAGGGATAGGGATATGGACACCCTTCCGTCACGGTCGTCATCTATTCAACCGACACATCCCATGGAAGGTGGCCCTGTTGGCCCACCGCCTGGGTTCGAAGTCAACGTGGCACTGCTACCCCGGTCAGCTCTATTACCGTGGAAAGATTATTTACCCACAGCACATCATCACTTCAAAGAAGCTGTCGAGCTCGCGGAGACCCTGCTCTGGGGTTCACACTCTCTTCGACTCTCTGTCAAAACTGAGTATGCCGCCTTCCTGTACGATTGTGTTCATGATCAAGAGGCTAGCCGACAGTTGGCTAAGGCTAGCATCGCAGAGGCATACGAGGCCGAGGAGGGAATGACGGATGATATGTTCAGTGACACGTGTGAACTTGTCACAGTGTTAGGCAAGATGATGAAGCGTGGCCTACCTGCCAGCGGGCCTCCTCGCACCAAAGGCCGTGGTGCCAGCGTGAGTTCTGGGCCGAAAGAGGGCGTCCGAACAGGAATGGAAAATCCAATCTGAGCGCTGAAGTATCAGACATGATCTAGCGATAAGACGGACTACAAGCGACACGACATCATGGAATATGGTGATGTTCCAAAGACGATAATCCCAAGGCTGCCTCAGCCGGATACCGATACTTGAGCTTCTTAGCCGTCTCCGTCAACACAACCAGCTCGTTAACTCAAAAAGGGCTCTTAACAGCAAAACCCTGAAACGAAGTTTCAGCTGAATACCGAATGTTGACATTTTGTAATATATACCGACAGCTCTGGCATCGACGAGATCTCTAGCGCTTGCCCTAGTGGATCTCAGGAAGCCAAAGGTGTCACCTTCTTTTCTGATGTGTATTTTGATACCCGTGCATTCTAATTTTCATAGAGACTGGTTCATTCCAGCTCAACATTGCAGAGGTACGGCGCCGCCGTTGCTTCAGTTGGACCTTGTTTATAGAGGAGATTTGGATAGATGGGTGGAAGGGTCATTTCATTTTGCATTTTGCTTGTTGGCGTTATCAAAGGGCCCCAAGGCGGAATGCTGATATTTTCACGGCGTACATTAATCAAAAGAGAGCGCCATAGTTTGTGAGCAGTGGAGTTGCATATTGTTGACATTAATTTGGTTTAGTCACCTTGGAGGTGCTCATTATTCTCTGTTAAATATACGTTTGCTCGCGCGAGTTTCAATTTCCCCATCCATCCGATTACCTTTCACGAGGTGCAACTGATAAACCTCGCTACCCATGACCAGCCTGCGACCGTCCCAACCAAATGTTCCAAAAAACGCCGTTTCCGTAGCCGAAGTGTGTCTAGGCGATGTGAATCCTGGCTCTTAAGTATATCCCGGCCTTACACGTTGAGGGTACCAGAGCGTAACCATGATCTTTTTCTAGTAAGTACCTTCTTCCTTCTCGCATCTTGCGCGTATCAATTCTATTGGCACCAGCCTGCCAGTTACGTTGTAGAAGTTTGCTTGCATCTCAAGGCACTTTGAGCGCTTGTACTGGCTCTCTACCGACGCCAAGATCTCGCAGTCTTCCTGAGAGAAGGTTTCGTCTGCTCTCGGGTACTTGTCGGGAGGAAACATCTTTGCCCGGATGTGCTTTTGTAAATACTTCTTTTGCCGGCGAATCTCCCTGTCGCTCCCCGCATAGGTGAGACTGTCCGCTTCTGATGACGAGGAGGGTGATTTTTGACCAGCTGGACCGTCGTCGGGTGATGCCTCGCCGGAAGCATCCTCGCCGGATAGGACGATGGTCTCCTCCGCCTGAGCGCTTGGTTTGTGCTTGGACGCTCTTCCAGCGCGCCTCTTTCTGGACTTCTTGGTCTTACGTTTGGGTTGCTGTTCGACTTCGGGTTCCGATGGGTCTTCTTCTTCTTCTTCTTGGGAGCTGGGCTGCTCCGTCTTGTTTTGCAGGATCTTCCATCGGGCTTTGATGTCTTTCTTGGACTTGTGCATTGCCTGGGCAATCTCGGTCCACGAGGGCTTGCGGTCGTCCTTCTTCATGTTGACCAGGATAACGTCCTCCGACATGGTCCAATTTGGGTCGGCGGCGGGGCTTTCGTCGCCGCTGCTCTCGGGAGCTGGAAAGTCTTGCTCTTCGATGCTGCTCTTATCGGGGGTTTCGTCAGTGCTCTGGGGGGTATCTGTCCCCTCTGTTGTGGCCTCGTCGGTAGACTTTTGGGAGCGTCTCGATTTCTTGCCCCTGCGATGAGCCCTGAGATGCCTGGACTTTCTCTTGGTTCTTTCCTTCTTTGGAGGGGTGTCTGAATATTCCCAAGTTGTCAATGATGGAGTTGTCTCATGATGAGTTGGTCGATGACAAACCGTTGCCGCTGTTGCTGGGTGAGCTGCCCTCGTTGGAAGGGCTCGAGGGATCGTCTCCCGAGCTCTCAACATTAGAGCTATCGGCGCCAGACTCCCCGGAGGTCTCCTCAGAAACCTCAGGGGATGTTGTCTCTTCTTCTGAAGTCGACATATCTCTGTGTCAGGCTGGTGTAGCTACAGTTGAGATTGAAAGGAAAACCTTGCCGACTCGGAGCGAAATGAAGAAGGAAGAGTTTTATTTATCTGAGAAGTGAAAGAAGAAAAACTCTAGGGCCTATTTGTTCCTCTAATAAGCTCAGGGTGAGGATGAAGTGAGTGAGCGAGCTCATGAATACCTCAGGCACGCACCTATTCCCTATTGTCGAACAGAGAGACAATAGGAAAATCAACTCATCAATGGCTACGAAATCACTAGTAACTGCATAGAACTTGTTGGATGCATAAAATTCACCTGATAGAGCTGATTTGCCAGACTTGTATCTGCATTTATATATTTTAGTTGTCGTTGGTAATTGCTGATCGACTATTGGATGAAGCTATTTAGGGAGATATCAGATGAAAGCTGTTCCATCCAAGGAAGAAACTCAACGCAAACAGTCAGTTGATGGCATACTATGTAACTTAATTGATTAGAAAAGTTAATATGCACCAATATGTATTAATCTAGCAACAAATCGTTTGTATAAGATGAAATTTTGGATGTTGACTGGAATGTCATACAGTGCAAATATTGACTTGTTCAATATACTTTGCACTGTATTGTAGATGACTCGAGTCGCTTATCAAAATTCCACTCACAAGCGACATCCAACTTATCGCAACGGTTAATCGCAGGAGGCAGCAGAAATTGTTTGCTTCATTTATTCTAGATCCGAGGCATTAGTACGACCATACTTGGCAGACACACAAAAAGGACTGGTCAACCATGGCAGAGCCAGCAAAGCAAGTCGCCGAGTTGCCTTCATTGCAGCCGCAATACGTCAAGGCAATCGAGCTCATCGACCAGGCTCATGCAGAGGACCCAAACCTAATTGATGGCCCGGAAGGACCCAAGACGCTACCTTACGAGCTTCACTATGCCCGTGAGATGACAAGATGGTTGGCCAGCCGGTACCCTGCCGCATCTCCTACTCTCCAACTCGCATGCCGGGCCCAGCACTTCCGGAGGTAAGAGGACCTGAGGATATGACAGAAGTTGATATAGATTTACATTGGATGAGACTAACGCGTATGCCCTCGTGTCAAGATGGGAGCTACCACGGAGCAGTTTCCCCAAGACACGCCCGGGTTACCTGACCTGGCGCGCCAAGCAGAAGTCCCAGGCCGCCGAGCAAGTGGCCGCTCTCCTCGGCTCTCCAGCCATTCAGCCCCCCATCCCGGAGGAGGAGCGTGCCCGGGTGGCGGCGCTGATCCGCAAGGAGAAGCTGAGCACGGACGAGGAGACCCAGGCGCTCGAGGACGTCGCCTGCCTCGTCTTCCTAGACGACCAGTTTGACGACTTCGAGAGCAAGGGGGACTGTGACGAGGACAAGATCGTGGACATCCTGCGGAAGACGTGGGGGAAGATGAGCGAGCCCGGGAGGAAGCTAGCCTTAGGAATGGACTTGAGCGATAGGGCCAAGCACTTGATTGGGAGGGCTCTCGCGGGTTGATCTGGTGAGTTTTTGCAGACATGTTAAATGCAAAATCTCCTCTCGTCATCCAAACGGGACTGACTGGTTCAGCTCGCATGTGACGCCGTCCATCTTCCACATCCCTCCACCCATATTCTTTGACGACTTGGGTCATGATTGGTAAAGCCACGCTTTGGCACTGTATCCTGACTCGCTTGCACCCTGGGCAATTAAGTACAATTGCTCTCCCCGCATATGCAAGATCGGGGCGGGGGGCTCGGCTCAAGATACCCCGAAGCACGAATAAAGGTCGAGCACTCCAAGTCGGGATATCGTAACAACCTCTTGGATGCTTCAAACTTCTCATTCCTACCATGACCAGCGTATCAGGAAAGGCAGGGGCTCTGGTGTCGGCTGGTGTCGATGACCGCCAGGCGACCAAGCCAAGCCTGGACACTCTCATCTCAACGCACGACTTCGAGCTCGTTGCCTCCAAGACCTTCTCTCCCAAGGCATGGGCTTTCGTGTCCTCCGCCGCCACAGATCTCTACACAAAGCAGCGCAATGCCACGACCTTCTCCAAGATCAGGCTGCGCCCCCGCGCGCTCCGGGACGTCTCCAGGGTCGACCTCGGCACCACCATGCTCGGCCATCGCATCCGCGCCCCTCTGTTCTGCAGCCCTGTGGCCATGAGCAAGCTCGTCCACGAGGAGGGCGAGAAGGACGTCAGCCGGGCCTGTAAGACCCTGGGCATCGCGCAGTGTGTGTCCACGAGCGCCTCCTACCCCCTGAGCGAGATCGCCTCGGCCATGCGCGCGCACCCCGTCCTCCACGACGACGACGACGACCGAGGTATCGAGGTGCCCCTGTTCTTCCAGCTCTACGTCGACAAGAACCGCGAGAACTCCCGGAGACTCCTCCAGAGGGCTCGTGACGCCGGCGCCAAGGCCATCTTCCTGACCATCGACGCCCCCGTCCCCGGCAAGCGCGAGGCAGACGAGCGAATACGATCCGACGAGAGCCTGAGCTCGGGCATGTCGGGCGTCGGGGTCAGGAACGACGCCAAGGGCGGCGGCATCGGCCGCGTCATGGGCGGGTACATCGATGCGTCCGTGTCGTGGAGGGACATCCCCTGGCTGCGCTCCTGTGTCCCCGGCCTGCCCGTCGTTCTCAAAGGGGTGCAGACTTGCGAGGACGCTATCCTGGCCGCGGGGGCCGGCGTGGACGCCATCGTGGTGTCGAACCACGGCGGGCGCAGCCTCGACACCTCGTCCGAGTCCGTCATGGTCCTCCTGGAGATGCACAGGAACTGCCCAGAGGTGTTTCGGTCGGTGGAGGTGTACGTCGACGGGGGTATCACGCGTGGCACTGACATCTTCAAGGCGCTCTGTCTTGGTGCCAGGGCCGTGGGGATAGGACGGGGTCAGCTGTACGGTTTGAACTACGGGCATGAGGGGGTCGCTCGCTATATTGAAAGTAAGTGTTTTTGTTGTTGTTTCGTCTCTATCACCTTTCTCAAACGTCTTGCGGGTACCAGTTTGGACTGACACATCACAACCTCGCTTTGTAGTCCTACGGGATGAACTGGAAACAACGATGAAGATGTGTGGTGTTACAAGTATTGATCAGTTACATCCCGGATACCTGAATAGCCTCAGCATCGACCATGAGATTCCAACCCTAGACCCGGCGACGAAGCTTGCCCTGATTAAGAGCAAGCTCTAAGACATCGCGCCCATTGAATAGCACACGATATACCGTGAAGATTGAAGTCAAATCGAGGAGAAAACAACGAATAAAACATAACAAACGATAGATTTATTCTTCAAAGTACAAACTTAATGTCATCGTTGGTAGAGCTGACTGGAACCTCCGGGTACACAAGTGATGTCGGGCACTACTTGGCAACTCAAAGGCACAAGGTATCGTCTTCCTGGCTGCCTGGCGATTGCTACAGCCGGCGAAGTGATCCAACGGGATGGTACTTGACTAGGATGCTTCTGGTACTCTCCTTTTACTCTAACTCCCTGGAGAGAAGAACTATCACTACTACTAATATTCATTGGCAGCGAGAAGAAAATCCCCGAGCCATTCAAAGCGTAGACTGGCCGGGCCAGTCCAAAGGGGTGATGGAGATGTGGTCGTGTTTCGATCTGAAACTCAACCACACCGCCGACAACGGCAGAAATTTAACAGCGGCTACTCCCTAAAGGTTGGAAGCACAACTCTGTAGGTCTCGGATTATGTAGACAAAACCTCACCAGATGTGTGGTCGAAAAAAAGGGGATCCGTCTGCCTAGACATAAGCACGCTTCATAAAACCCGAAGGCAAGTCTCCTGTGACAACACTGCGCAACACAGACTCGGTGGCTTTGTCAATGCCACAAATAATCAGGTGTCAATCGTCCAGGATCTTGTTCCCTTCTATAATGCAAGTTTTGCAAAATGGAGCCATACAAGTCACATGGCGGAGAAGGTAGATTGTGGAAAGGAGCCTTCGACCACGGTATAATATCATATGTGCTTTGGTTGCAGATCCTTGGAAAGGACCTGCCGTTTCAGCTCTCCAACTTCTGGTTGTTCTCTCACCTCGACCTGGCTCTGTTTGGACATCTCGTTGAAGCAAGACATGTCCCAGATGTCAGTGATGCGCAACACGCCACAAGACTGTATTGAGGATCGATTACACATTTATCGACCTCGTAGCACGTCAGAGGGTAGTCCTTGAAGCAGTGAGACGTGCCCTTGGTCAGCTCAGTGTGTTGATGGAAGAAGAAAACTTGGCTCAGGAGGAAGGATTCTAAGTAGATAATGGCCGATTGGAGAGTAGCAGGTCTCATCTCACCCGTATTTTCCAGAAATGAATCCATAGGACCCTATGAGTGTGCGAATCCCCGGGGAGGAATCGGGAATGCTCTCGGGCTGGCCGAATCTCGCTCTAAAGAGTCCAGTGAGAAAGGGTAGGCAGGGATATGCGCTCAGAGCTCGCTGTGCTACTTGTGCTTCCACCATCCTAGTTGAGACAAACCACCGGCTCCTTCTATTCTGTGATAGCTGACGACAAGTCTCTCAGTTTCCATGATTTCAGCTCAGGGTGGCGCGTAATCAGCCCCTTTGGCTCTGTTTCTAGCTCCAACTAGATGGTGCGATGGTGGTACAAGGGGGAGCATCACCCACGAGAGGCTCAGGGAAACAACAATGGCTTTGCACGAAGCCTGGAGCTCGGAAGGACGGGTCGGAATGCAAGAGGAAATCTAAATAGACCCTAGTCTTATGTCGATCAGTGCTACCTTTCTTTCCTTGGTTTCGTCTCGGCCACGGGGAAATTGATCCTTGAAGGTGTTTCCGTTATGCTACATCACGATACGAAACTCCAATTGAAAGTAGAAAGTTCGGTTGCCACGAGTTACATATATGATGTGACATGGGATGATTTGAAATGAAATTTGTGCACATTACATGTCTCCTCTCCTCTGAGTCAACTGGCACCTTGTAGGTATCTAAGTAAACATTATTCACTGATATCTTGGTAAGTGAAGTGAGTGCCTCACGAAATTCTATGAATTTAGCTTCTTGTAGTTTGAAGCATAGGTCAGGGGCATAGATTCTATCAAAAGGTTGACTATAATCGAACCACGGGCATCTATACTTACTCAGTTAGAAAACCACTCTTTCTGTCAGCAAGGTAAACCGTTTCGCGTGCACAGCTGCTAGACTGCTCCCGAGTGGCAAATAACTCATAGCTGTTATGGGGCTAGGTAGAAAGGTAGCTGATGGTGGCCTCGAATGCCCCTTTTGGTTCCTTTGGGGTCAGGGGTGAGGCAGAGGGGTAGAAGTATAGATACTGGAGCGATTCTTGGTTCCAAGACCTATGCCGGCCATCCTTGATACTTCATTTGGTCCACACACCCATAGTGCATTTCCAAACACCGTATTGTTGTTATTCTGCTACGAATCAGGATCATCCACAGGCCAGCAGGGTCCTGCTGTCATGTGGGACAAATTGCCGAATTGCTTTTTCTGCGCTCGAGCCCAAAGACCGGCAGGGCCGGTCTAAGTATGGAGGATTCTGTAATGAAGGGGCTGCGGAGCGGCTGAATGACAGCCCTTTGCTACTAATCATTACTTACTTACGGATATTTGCTGAGTGTAGGTAATATTGTAAGGTTGGTGTGGGTGGGTGAGGCTTGGCCTTCCACTATCTAAGATCGTGAGGTGGCAACGCATGTTGCGCCCAACCGATTATGTTTCTTTGCTTTATTCCCAAAGCGCAAGCATCCAATATTCAATAGTGGGTGCGTTTGACCTTGCACGGATTTCCATGTAAGACCTTGGCTTTGTCGGGTACTAGGATTGGTCTTGGAGAAACCCTCCACACCGATTCAGAGCATCATTCTTTTCTTCTTCGTATGACTTAAGGGTATGAGAAATCATCCGTGGCTCTAGAGATTTCATGTATCGTTATCGGATGTCTTTATTTAATGGCATGGAAAGTCCGGATTGATCCTGCATAATTGTCCTAGAAAGTATAGAGTAATCAGACTAAGACAGAAAACCCTCGAGAGCCTAAGGCTGAAGCCGTGTCACTGGATCTGAGAGAGGTTAGAGGAAGGCCCGAAGATATAACCGAACCAATAGCTTGGCTAGAGGCTGCGAAGAAGGCTGTTAGAAAAAGCAATGAGCACAGAGAGCAGGGGCTGTTTCGGCTTTCTGAGTGAGGATCTGACCAAAAAATATGACGAACAGCGCAGAGTAGGAGCAACAAAGCATTGCATCTCGCCAAGCAATGGAAATTGTCAGTTCTCATTCGCTTAGAACCTGAAGGTGCCTCAGCCTTGGAAAGTGGCAATGGTGACCCTCGGATGTTTTCTTTTTCTGGCATGTTTTCTTTTTCCACGGAGCTTTTTGTCAGATTGCCAGGGTATCATTTGGGGCATTGTTATTTGCATGGTCCTGAGGAGTTCAGCTGCGGCTGCGAATGTGGTTCTGGAATATTCGGACCATGAACAAATTATTTAGACCGATCGCTCTATCGATGTTGACTGCCAAGTACGGTGGTTGAAAACCGAGGAACAAACCGTAGTCTATTTCTCCAAAAACAGTCACCAAATCAATGCTGCGATATGATGCACTTGCTCCTCGGCTGTTGACCTGATAGCCGGTGGATCGGCCAGCTGCGCTATTGCACGCGCTTGTTCGATAATATGTGATGGGTCAGTTTTGCTAGCTTGCCAGTCGATGGCTGCTTGGTCAATTATACACCGTGGTTGGTATAATAGCTGCGGGCAGATGCAGTGATCTCCCTCTAAGATCGTCTATAGAGAGCAACCCATGTCCCTGCCGACAACCCTTGGCACGCTGAACATTGTGGGAGGCGCGATGTGCAACCGGGATTTGCCAGCCGTGTAGCCAGCGGCCAGCCTTCTTCTCCAGATGCTAGCTGGCCCACCGCAACTCCGTTAACGGTCAAATTCCTCGTGCCCCTAGACCGGCGCGGGCATAGCTACAAGTTAGACTACATCATATGACGCTGGCTAGTCCCTCGTGCAAGACAAGGGCCCAGTCTGCGAGGAACGATCCCTCCCAGCAAGACGGACGTACAAGGTCGGTACCGACTGAGGAAACTAAACTACCTGGGGAGCTCAGGTTCGGTTGAGCAGCTAACCACATGGTAGCTGTGGGCCTCCGGCGGCGGTGCTGAACAATCGAGACTCGGGCGCTTTGGTGGCACCCGTATGGCGGGGGTATGGAGCTTCAATAGAAATGGGTAGTTTGGCGCTAGGATGATGAGATAGGCTTCACCTCGCCAGCACTGCATAAAGAGTAAGCTCTGCGGGTTCAGCGACGGCGATGGCCACGAGGGGGGTGCACTAGAGACGCACGCTCACATACTTGGTTCGTCGGTTGGTGATAGTCAGGTCAAGTCAGGGGAGGCCGAGCCAACCACACGCACAGGCTGACTTGCAGCCGCCCGCCTGCTCCCGCCGCCTTGCCTGCTTCCATTGGCTTTGCTGCGTGGGACCTCGAGCTCGTCGAGGTCCCAGTTTGTGTAACTGGGATCGGGTACATGTACTTGGTCGAGTCAAGAACCAAGCATCTCCTTCCTGTCCAGAACGTGAACGCCGGAGAAGCAAAGCCTGGGGATAACTTGTCTGCCACCGGGGGCAAAGGGGAGATCCGCCAAACAGGTAAGTGGTTTGGGCTGCGATGGGCCTTGGACCGGGTAGGCATGTGCGGTATGTGCTTTGTTGGCAGCAAGGCGAAATGGGCTCCATGAATCATACCTTGGTTTTCAGCGTGGGAACTTTGGGCAGGCTCCCGCACCCTCCCACGCGCACGCGCCCGCATGGCATGGTGGCAGGTTAGTACCTCAATGGTAAATAGATTATCATGGAGGTATATCCCGTTGCGTGCTCAGCCCGCTCCGTACTTTGTGCATTAGTACCTCCCGCAGGTGCTAGCCAACTTAATCTCTCTCTCTAGATGTACCTGCTTCACCTCGGCATGCATTGCAGCTGCACCGGCTGGGTACTTGCATGCCTCTCTACAGTCGCTCCTGCCGGGCGCAGCCTTCTGCAGTGGTTGGAAAGTGCTGCTTGCGCCGGGCAGGCCGTACAGCCGGCTACTACCTGCTGGTATCTACCAAGGTAACAAGGTAAATCGGAGGCAAGCAGGGAGATAAACGCCACACCGGATTGACCAAAGGCAAGAGCGAGGCAGATGGACCTACGTAACGAAAAAGGCCTGGAAGGAGCTACGGGTGCCACGGAGGGTACCGCCGGAGCGGAGCCGCCAGGGGACCAGGGAGCTGTACCAGCTCGTGAGGGCCCATCAGCGTGCGCATATGCACCTGCTCGTCTCCCTACATACCTCCACTACAGCGCTGCCATGCCACGCCAAGCCCTCCATCCCTGCCTACCCGGCCTGAGCAAGCATGCGCACCGCACCGCGCCTGCCCCAAAGTCCGGACGAAACTTGGCCGAACCAACATTTTGTTCTCTCTCTTGCATTTCCTCTTTTCCCAAGTCTTCTTTTCTTCTTTTCCACAACCTGTGCTTATTCCTCGAGTCCTAGTCCCTGCCGTCCTAGTGCCTTGGTTCAGCTCAGGTACTTCCGGCAACTGTAGCTCTCCGGCCCGCTTGGATCCCCGACGACACCCTCTTACACCACTTCGCCAGCTTTCTTCGTACATGGATACAGCCAGGCCATGTACATGAATTCTCGTTTTTGCTTCTGCTTTTTACTGTTCGATCATTGCGTGTGACCAATGAATGCCTGCCTATAGACGCTACTGCTCAGCTTTCACCCCGGTTTTGGTTCCTAAACAATTACAGCCACTTACACCTAGGCTCGGCTCGGCTCTCTTGTTCGCTTATCTGCTCTGCTCAACACAGCCTTGTCTTGCTTTGCCTCTGACTTGCCTCGATTTTCCTGCACGGACGTCCCAGCTCCTCGGTTTGTGTCGCTGCTTCCTCCAGGTTGCAGTTTCAAGATCGACTCACACGCAGACACGGCATTTTGGGCTGGCTACAGGGTGTTTTATAACCACCCCCCTTCTGAGACCATCTTGCACAGTCTTTGACTATTTGATAACCAAGTCTCATCCTGTCGCTCTTCTGCTCTCCTTTCGTCTTTCAGAATCTCGATACAGGCCATCCTTCAGTGCTAACTGACCCGAGTGTTCCCCAAACCCCCGAGCAATTCCTAGGTGTGATCATTCCCGCGGGTGCCGATTCTCAACAAGTCTTCGCCACCACCGCTTCTCTGCATATTATTCCTTCACTTTGTCTCTTCTGCCCTCCCGCTACCAAACACTCAGAGCAACGAGATGTCGGTGTCTTTTCAACATGTAGGTATTATGCCAATACCCTTTTCCAAAAGGGTACCTTCTCTTCTTATAGTTCATCTACTTACACGAGCAAGCCTTTCCAAGAGATCCAATTCGACCTCTTCGAGTGGTATCCAAAATTCCAATCTTGCCTCGCTTACTTTATCGACCATGCCCAGCACACCGGCCCCGTGCAGACGGTAGCTGCATACGTCAATATCAAGCTCCCCTACCAGAAAGCACAACAGGCGCCAGCACCAGGCCAAACCCCCCAACCCACCTGGAACAGAAACCCGTCCGTGGAGCAGTCGTCTTCACAGCCGGAGGCTCACCAGACCCAGATAGCATTCCTCATCCCCTATGTCCGTCGTCTTGTCGCCACTTCCTTCGACTCCCCAACGGTGTTGAATGGGTTTTTTGGGGACGAATGGGAGGCAGGCATCGGCCCCATTCACGAATCCGAGCGTCGGAACTATTTGTTCGCGGCGAAATCCGACACTTGGCTTTCGGTCAAGTCCCACTACGACATGGAGGACGGCCAATTGATACCCTTTCTTCGCCCACTCCAGAACGTGACAGTAGAGGAAATCGAGGCCGCTGAGGCTAACTGGAGCGAGTGGCTCGCCATGCAGGATTGGATGCTTGGGCCCAGAGCCCCGACCGTGGACGCCACCAACCCAGGGTCCTCGGCTCGGGGTGCAAACGCGAGGAGGGGGCGGGCTTGAAGAGAACCGTCGACGGGGCGCCCGAGGGCGGTAATTACGACGGACACTTCAAATGGTGACGATGCAGCTCTGGCAATTGCAGCAGCGGATTGCAGGCGCGATGGGAGCTACGAGGAAGAATTACGCAAATGAGCCGGACTCAAACGACACCTTGGAGTCGGAGCTGAATTATTCATTTTACAGATTTGAAATGTCAAGAGATGCCAGCACAACGTCCGTTTTTTTTGTTAGCATAAAGATGGCGGCGCTTTAATTATTAGATGTGTAGCGAACTGGTAATAATACTACAGACAATTTTACACCAAGATTTTTGCGTCCGTTGCCATCAGATTCTCCAAGCGTGGTTGTGTAGATGTGTGTATAGGTTGTGTGTTTTCACGCAGAGCAGGGCATGATTGAGATATTGTGGGAGCGATCCCCCATTTGATTCTGGCAACACTGGATTCCCCAGGGTATATATTCGCAGTGCCAAAAGGTAGTCTACAGAGACACCCGCGAGGGTTATGGGTGCTCTGTTGCAAAGAAAATCCAAGGCCGGTTGAGCGCCTTGTTGAAAGAGTGTCGAGGACTGAGGACGACCATCCTCGGCAGGGGAAGCACAGTGTCCAAGTGTGTTCGCAGAAAAGACAGGGGTAGACTCCGCCTGTTTTGATCCCAAGGCAAGTAGTGCCTTGAGGGAGATGGTACAGGGCATCGTAGCGTTAGAGATGAAACAAGAAAACTCCTCCAAACGCCGGTGCAGATCCAGTCTGAGGCATGGGGTGTAGGAGGCCTACAAGCTCTGCGGTGTGGCTCTTTGGCATGCAGAGCCAAGGACATGAACGGGCCCCTACCAAAGCATTTCCTCCGACTATTTCCAGTTTGTCCAAGCGATGAGAATGTTGCTGCGGCATTTCACAGAACTCAAGAGCGAAAAGATGCAGATGAGGGAGTGTGTTCTTGGCTCCCTTTTGTGATAGACGCTATTCAAACCAAGCCCGCCCACACCAATACATTGGGTAAAAAGATAAAACGCCAGCGCCAGTAAACTTTTTATATTAGTTGAGGAATCCTTTACACGCCGGCGTCCCGCAGAGGCAGGGAATGCGATCTAAACTTCCAATCTCTCGCTCGAATTTGTAGTCGTAGGTCAGCTCCTCATCTGGGCCTTGTTAGCTTGGCGGAAACTCGTCGGGAGATGGATTGGAACAAACTTACTCATAGCTATGTCACGCAGCGCATAAATCACGATGCGCTTGCTGCCTTCGACTTTGATAATCTTGGCTGTGCAGTTTGGAGAGCAACTGTGATTGATGAAGCGTGCTATGCCTCCCTTCTTGGTTGCATCTACAACAGTGCCTTCATCAATCCGGAAGAGATAACTGCTGCCGATGCCGCTCTTGAGATAGCGTTTCTCACGAATCTCGGCAACCTGCTGGCGGACAACTTCGCCAACATATTCAATAATCATGTCATCCTTGGCTATGTTCTCCATGGCGTAAAGACCCCAGTTGTGGATGGCCGAGCGGGCGAACTTGACGGGCTTCTTGCGCTTCTTAAGCTGGTTGAACTTGAATACGTCCGAGTCCTGGCCCAAGGTCTTCTTTTGATCGTTAAGATCAGCAACATAACGTCGATTGGTTGCACGATTGGCCCTGGAGTTGCCCTTCGTCAACAGTTTCTCCGCAGCCAATTTGGCGGCGTCGACGGCGGTCTCCTTCCCTCGCTTCTCCCGCTCTTCCCTGGCCTTCTGTACCTTGATATGATGCGGTAGATATTTAGACTTCTCCGAGTTGAGAATCTTCTTCACGCCCTCAGTCCTTGCACTTCCCGTTGGGTTTGGCACGTAGTAGCCGCCAATCGAGACCGGTGTGTTGACACTGCCCTCAGTCGAATTAAGTTGGCGAACACGGTTACGCTTCCACAGCCACAGCTCTGGATTGCCGATATCTGCAGCCGGAAATTTCTTCCGCAGTTTACTGATGTCAGGTGAATCCTTAGGACCTAGAGAGAGCTGTTGCAGAGCAGCAAAATCGGGCTTGAACCCGTCTGGAAGGTCGAGAGCTGGAACAAGGGGTTCTGTTGAGAATAGTTTTTCATCGAACTTTGCGCTGAGATCTGTAGCAGGAGGTTCCACCTTTTCTTCCTTGGATTCAGGTAAGGTCTCGGGAAGCTCCTCCTTTGGCTCCTCATCCTCAGTCGCCTCGGTTGCTGCCGCTTCCTGCTGCTTCAGTGCTTCCCTCTCTTCAAAGAGCTGCTTCTTAGACTTCTTCTTCGTCTTTACAAGCTTTTTCTTCGCCCCCTTGACAGAGGCAGGAAGTGGGGTCTGCGAGCGCGACATTGTACTCCGTTGATCTTCCGCTTCGGTAATATCAACATCTGGAGTGATGTCCTCAGTCCCTTCACGGCCTCTGAACTCGCTTTCGATGCGACTGATTCTAACGCCAAAGAGTTCTTCGTTTGATTTCTTTTGGCGTTTGAAGGCTGTCTCGATTGAAACCTCGAGCTTCCTCTTCTTAGATAGAGCTGTATCGCCGACAGGAAGACTGAATTCCGTCATGGAGTCGTCCTCACCTGGACCCCAACCAAAGTCATCCTTTGATGCTTCGTCGTCGGTACTCATCCGACTTCGGGGTCGTGAATCTACATCTTCACTATCCCGAACCAGCGCGCGCAGATCAGTCTCATCCTCAGATTCAATATCACTATCCAGACTCTTGAGCCGATGATGAAGAGATCTGAAGGCATTGCGAGGAACGGCGGTGCGTTTTCGCGCAAATGGATCTACGAACACACTCCTATGGGCTTGTGCCCTGGCTTTGGATTTGCGAATGCGGGGAAGAGCCTTCGGCTCCAAGCGGCCAGTTCTTCTTTCGATGGGGTCAGCTCCTGACGTTGGAGTGCCGAACCTTGAGCTCTCGGTCCCGTCATCAGGAACCACACTCTCTTCATCGTCCTCTGCGGTATCAAGATTTAGCTTGCGCCGTTTAGCAGCATGATTAGCAGGATCCAGAAAGGCCTCAAGCGCCGGCGCGGCAAGCTGAGTACGAATGTGCCTGATTAAATGTTCCATCATCTCTGCTCGAACCACGGCTACCGCTTCGTTCACGGGATCAAAATTCTTTGCTCTCTGTTTCTTCTCCTCCTCCAGATCAGCTTCCTCCTCGCGTTTTCGACGTTCAGCCTCCCCTGCTGAGGCCCTAGGAGGAGGTGTCCGCTCTCGTCTTATTGGACTGCGGCTCGCGTGCCGGTCATGACGACTCGCTCGGGGTAAGCAGAGCTGCATGGCCATGTCATAGTTGAAGAACTCGGTGTGATTAACAGCTCGATAACATCTTTCAGCTTCTGAACGGCCATGGTAAGAATTTTGAAACACAACGAAGAATCCCGTCTTGTCAATGCGAATTTCCTCGAGTGCATAGTTTTTCAATCGCTTCTTCATATGAGGTATGATGCTAGGCAGCAGAGGTACTTTTTCGCTCGTAACGAAGATATAGGGGTCGTTTGCCAGTGCTGATGCAAGATTCACCGTCTCCAATACTAGCTGACCCCGTGGCTGGGAGGGGACAATTAAGGGATTCGGTGCGAGCGTTAGAGCAGGGACTGAGCTGGGCCTCGATGCCGCAGGGCCCTTGGGAGCCGTTAATGGAGCTTTCGCTATCCCAGGTATAAGCGTCGATTTGGGTCCTGTGGGAGGAACCTTTGGCTGCGGAGCCTTTGCAAGTCGCTCTTTGGCTTGTTTCTCTCGATCTCGTTTCAAATGTTCTTCCAACATTCTCTTGCTCTTCCGGCCCTCTGGATCATATTCTACTCGTACGATATCGGCATCAACTTTTATACCGCGAGCTCGGACTGCGCGCCGAGCTGCATCGATTGCAGACACCATAGGACGACCAGAGCGAGAATCTCGGTAGCGGATCGTAGCAAAACCCAAGTAGCTACCAGTTTCAGGGTGCATCTTGTTGCTGCTCTCGGCAATTTCACCAAAAGTGGCGAAGATGGTCGTCACCTTATTGAATGGGACGAGAGGATTATATTTGGTCACAACAATCTGGGTCGGTGGTCCAGGGCCAATGGATGTTTTGGGATCATACGGGTACGGGCGTAGGTTTTGAGGGGCGGGCCGCAACCGAGCTTTAGGCAAGTAATAATCGGTATTGATATATCCCAATAGACCGCCCGCCTTTGCCAGGCGAGGATCCGAAGGGGGAGCGTCATCGTCCTATTCCATAAAAATTAGCCTCGGATTCACAAGTGATGACGCCCCCCCTTCCCACGACGGGATGTATATATTCATTTTATACGTACCAAACCGAACTCCTTGTATATTGGCTTTGAGCCCTTGTTGGTACCCTTATTACGTAGTCGATCGAGTGTGGGATCATATGTGCATTTGATGCCCTTGATAGATGGCATAGGGTCTCGCGCAGGGATGCGCTCGGTTATGGGGGTATAGTCAGATACGGCGCCATTGTGACCGATGGCACGGGGAGTTTGAGATGTTGGTCTTCCGACGTGATCGCTCGATGAGCCCGACGAAGGCATTTCTTGTTTTGAGGGTGCAATGGTGAGTGACAACGGGGACGACCCTTCCGATGCCAGTGGGGTAGCACTGGCAGTTGGGAGGCGGGATGAGGCAGCTGTCGCGGTATGTCGCGCGCTAAACACGGTAGATGCTAAGCTGGTATGAGAGCTCGTAGAGTCGACTGTGCTGGGAATGTCTCCGGGCAGAGATTCGTTCTCATCGATGCGAGCCTGACACTGTCCGTGAGGGGCATCCGAGGATATATTGCCAGGGCCAGATGAATGAGGCCCTGGGCTGATGGGTTGAGAGTCCAGAGTGGAAGAACCTGGCCTGTCCTCTCGTAATGTATCAACACCGTTAGTCTTTGGCTTCGACCGCTCCCGGTCTGCCCGACCTTCGGCTTCTGCCCTGACCTTGGGGGCAGTAGGGAAGAATTGCGCGAAGCCCGGGACAGACGTAGGACGGGTCATCGTGATCGATGGGCTCCTGCTATCGACTCCACCGTACTTCAATCATCATCTCTCGTATTGTAGCCTCCGGTAGTGACCTGGGGTTGGTTTGAGGCGGATTGGGGGTCAGACCGCTGCTCTGACGCGCAAACTCTGAAAGAGTTCACGCGACCGGGCGGCTGGACAATCGCAGCGGCCTAGCAGGCGACATATACCGCGATGGAAGGCCAAGAGAAGGTCGAGGGCGTAAAAAAAACGCGGGATCTCACAGAGGAGGCGGATGCGATGCTTGTGATGAGCGGGCGACGCGAAAGAGCCGGCTGGGGGAGGTAGGGAGGAAAAGCTGGAATGAGCGAAAGGCGGGTTTGAGCCTTCACCAGAACAACTTTCTTTCTTCGCTGTCAGGGATGGATGGTCGATCGGGCAGATTCCTGGTAGGTAATTTAGGGGTACGTACCTCCCCGTACTAGCGCCTGTGACGAAGACAGCGCATCCGCCCACCAACCAACCAGCGCCAATTCGTTGTGGAGGAACACAGTTGCCCCGGCATTTCAGATTTTCCGAACGCCTGACGTCTGACTGGTCGTTTTGCCCTTTCCCCGATGCAGGACGCCACTCGAGGCAGGCACGTGTCAACCTCCCTCCTTTAGCCTGCGAGGTACGGAAGTCCCGCGCTTCCACAGCAAAACGTCACAAAGCAAGGGGTACTGCCCGGAGTGACGTCCGTTTCTATGCAGCCTAGGTACCTAGGTAGGTTTGTTGTTTTGTTTCCATGCACAGAGCGTATTTACGGACAACAGCATGCAGTTTCCCCGTGGCGGATCGTTTGTATCATTATTCAAATTCCGTAATTTATTAAACAAACAATAAGCCGTCTTTGTTACTGTGTCCTTGATTGAGTCCATGCCCAACTGATTGTCCTGCGAACTCCACACTCCACAAAGGAAAAATAGTAATAGTACATGTGCTAAGAACTCAAATATCAAACTTCAGCTCAAACTCCTCGTCTTCATCATCTGAAGGGAATGGAGCGATGATAGCGGGTAGGTCCTCCTCCTCATCGTCTTGGCCAAAAATGGAGGTAAACTGTGGCGGAACCGCCTGGGAAGGCCTGACTTCAGTCAAGCCAGCCTCCTGTGCCCGAGCTGGTGTGATTGTGGAATCGGGATCGACATCTCTAAGTACCCGTGTTTTTGTCGTGAACTGACCGCGAGGGGCTGTAGAAGCTGTCTCGCGGGCATGCACCAGTGATGAAGCTGCTTTGCCTTTGTTGTACCCAATAGTGCTTCTTGAAGCAACTTCTCTAGAGTTGCTTGCAGCAGACTGAGATCGAGCAGAACGTTCAGCCTGCCGAACAGTTCTTTGTCCAGAAACCAAGCTGCTCAGCGGCCGCCTGCCAGCTGACATAGCACTTGTCGGCCTAGGAAGCTGAGGGCGCCCGTTTGGCGGCTGCATGGAAAGCGCAGAAGCTGCCTTTCTTGAAGTGATTGTGGAAAGTTGTCGTGAGTGACCTGTTCCTCTGATCTTTCGACCCATTTTTGACTCGGCGACTTCTGGGGCATCTGGCTTTCTTTGAACAAGCTTTGGTAGCTCTGGTGTGTCGGCGAGGTTCCAGTCTAAAGCCTCCAAGTCCCGGTTGTTTTTCTCGATCGCTTTGTCCATGACGAGCTTCATCTCTTCATTGAACCGTTTTTCCTTTCTTGAGACGCCATTATCGTCAACAGGGTTGTGGAACTGCTGGTAGAAGCCCCGGAGTAGGTTCTCCTTCTTCAACCCTTCGAACGTGAGGCCACCAGGTGGTAAGAGGTCTGATTCATAAGGCAGATCTTTGGGTTTTGGGGGGGCATATTCAGGTTCATCATCCAGAGGGTCGAAAGACTTGGTGTCTGCTTCAAGTTGAAGCGGGCCTTGCGAGATGACCTTTGGCTTAGGCTTCTGGACTGTTGTTTGCTTCGCCTGCGATTTTTCGATATTCTTCGTCCCGCCGACTTGGCCAGTTCGTGCCTTTGCGTTCGTCGTCTTGTTTCCTAAAGGGGCTCTTGATTGGGATTGAGGCCCTATTTCGAGGATGTTAGATTCTATGCTGGAAATTCTTGGTGTTGTGAAGTGCGCATTACCTGTTGGGGTAACCATTGATTGCTTGCCCTTGGTCATTGTGATCTTATCCTGACCCCCAAGCCTGGTCCCGCCTAAGCCATTTTTTCCTGCAAAAGCTGTAGGTGCATTCTCGTCGTTCTGACCATACTTGAGTGGCGTCTTTGGATATCTGGCGCCTGGAGTTTTTGGTTGCTGCTTTCCAGAGACCTGGTGACTGTGCACCAGGTTCTCTTGGTCACGATGGGCTGCGAGCATATTTTCGATCGAAGTTTGATGGCTTCTAATCATGGACGAAGTGAGATGCCTTCTTTGTTTCGTCACCGAAGCTCGCTACGGAGATTAGGGAGAAAGTAAAGTGGCTGTTGCCGAGGACTTGTTTTCATTGGTCGCGACTGCCTAGAGTTGGCACAGCAACGGGTGTTGGCGCACGGACTCTCTAGCCACAGAAGGAGTGACCTGGCCGCCTAAAGTGTGGCACGTACATGTGGAGGGGCATCCAGCATCTGAGCAGTCAGTCTCCCCCACCTCATCCCTTTTCCCTAAGCCATCATCACAATCAACCGACATTACGACACCCACCAATCTTGCTCTCGAGCTTTTTCCCTTCTTAGAATCACACAAGAGCGTCGCACGCCGAAAACAAACTCTATTCACAATGGACCGCATCAAGGAGGTTCGTGCCCATACCATTATTTTGTCTCCAACGCTGTGGTGGGGTAAAGGCCAGCAAAGACGGAACTGCGGGCTGACAGCTGAGTAGAAAATGAACCAGCTCCGCCTGGAGGCTGATGAGGCCAACACCAAGGTTGAGGAGCTCCAGACCAAGGTGAAGACTCTTGAGCAGGATGCCTTGTCCAAGGAGCAAGAGATCACCTCTCTGCAGCACAAGAACAACCTCCTTGAATCAGAAGTGGAGAAGCTCGAGACCAGCATCAAGGATGCCAAGAAGGCAGCAGATGAGGGCCAACAACACGGCACCCAGAATGAGACTCTCCAGCGCCGTCTGCAGCTCCTCGAGGAAGAAGCCGAGGATGCTGACAAGACACTCCGCGAGGCCAACGAGAAGTAAGCATCGACCCTCGTGAATTGTCACTTGTTTACTCACCGCGCTAACTCCCTACCTAGGCTCCGACAGACCGACGTCAAGGCCGGCCACTTCGAGCGCAAGGTACAGGCTCTTGAGCAGGAGCGCGACCAGTGGGAGCAAAAGTACGAGGAAATGGCCAAGAAGCACGCAGCCCTCCAGAAGGATCTCGACGACCTGCAGGGAGAGATTGGTGCCATCTAAGCGAGTTCATATGGATTTTATTGATATTCTTTTGTCTCTGCATGGCGTGCCGTCGAACAAATCTCAGAAGCGTAGAAGCGCACAGGGCTATGTCTATCTGGGAAAAATACCCTTCCCTACTTGAGAGTGTATGGTGCCAAGTGTGTACACGTTCACTTTGACGGAACGAGACTCGCATTCCCAAGGGGTATCTATTATGGATTGCAAATGGCGCTTAACTCAAGATCGTACATATAAAAACCAACTTTCCGCTACCTCTTTGCTTTCTTAGCCCGATGTTTCCGTTCCGAAAGCTGTCTGTCGAATTTAGTCTCATAGCGAAACTTGGGCTTCTTCTTCTTTGCAGGTTGCTTGGTTTCTGTTTTCGATTCGACTTTTTCCTCCGGTTCGCCCTCCTTTGTAGGTTCATTTAACACTGGCTTTTCAAGCCCATCTCTCGACACGGATACAGACTCGACTGTGACTGTGGTATACCGATCCTCGTCAATGTACTCCTCTTCGTGGTCGACTATGTCCAGGTTTGGTCGATCTGGGAACCCTCCCCATCCATCCTCTTCGTCATCCTCTGAATCGTCTCCGTCTTCCACTGCGCCCGCCGCGCCCGATTCTCGTAAAAGCTTATTCACCATGTTGACATGATCTTCGACTTCCTTTTTCCGCTCCTCTCGTACCTGTGATTTTCGAGTTAGCTTTACTACTTTGCTACCCTGCATACCGGTAGATCGTTGGTTCTAATCACCTGTTTCCTGGTTTCAATTTTCTCCAACCGCTCCCTTCTAGCCGCTTCTTCCTGTGCACGTTTGATGCGCTCTTGCTTGCGCTTGTGGAATCCGGTCAGATACTCGTGACGGGCGGCATTGTCGAATGTGACTTCTTCAACAGCGGAGGTAAATTTTCTCTTTTTGCTGGGATGGGGAAGAAGAAGTTTCTTCGGTCTTGGTTTGGCAAACATGATAAGTGAATTTCGATTCCGATTTCACTTGTCCTCGTAAAAATCGTAGCAAAAGGTTGTCGTCGCAACTGCCAAAGAATTTTGCCTGCTTCTCAGTGGATTAATACCAGAATCCGGACCATGTCCATCGGGTTTGGGCTTATGCATAAGAGTGGGGTCTCGCGTCTAGGCAGCATTACGTAAGGTTGAGGCCAGGTGCATCATCAGCTTCCTTTGGTTTGGAACGGTGCTAATCCCTAGGAGTAAATCGCCTTGCTTGCCAACGAATCTATCCGAAGAGTAATTCAGACCAGCCATCTAACCTCCCTCTCTACGATGCGTCTCCAACTCCTCGCCAGTGCCCTGGCACTTTTCGGTTCTTCGGCCGCCTTCTCAGACTCATCGCCATGGGTTGTCCTCTCGACCTCCTCGTAAGCTTCTTCGAGACGTGGCGCGCGCAGACGGACAGCTTTACTGACGGGTTTTCCATCCAGCTTCGATCAGAATAACGCTTCGAATATCCAGACGAGCGCCCAAATCGTCGAGGCCACGAAGAAGGCATTGCAATCATGCCCCACTGATCGATACCTGCTCGTCAACCAACCAGGCATTTCTGCGCTCGATCTTCAGGCATCCAAGGACTGTCGCATGCCTCATCTTTGCCATGCAGTGGAGGACAAGAGCATCTCCGGCAAGCTGATGGCGTCCGAGGTCGTTGGGGATGTCAAGCATACGGGGCTCGAAGACTTCATCAAGGAAGCTTGCGCCAAGAAGTCGGGTGTTTCCGTTGAAGCCATTGAGCTTTCCTCGCCTGCGAAGAACGACCGTGCCGGTTCCCTTGCCCAGAGCGGTATGATGCGACCCAATCGAGGATATTTGAAACTTGGTGCTGACCCATTCATAGACTCGGCTTTCGCTGCCAAGCTTGAAGACCTGAAGAATGACAAGAGCTACACTGTCATCTTCTATTCTTCTGCCGTCGAGCCAGTGTATGAGGCCGACTTCGCCGATCCTGCCCATCTGGAGTTGAGGAGAAACGTAGAGAGCCCCGTTCTCCGACGTGAGAAGAAGACCTCCGGTCGGGACAACAGAAATCTATTCGAGAAGTACCAATTTTTCACACCAGGTCAGAACTACTCGGCCCCATTCTTCAAAGTAATGTCACTCGCTAACAGCATCAATAGGCATATTCATGGGCCTCATTGTTGTCATTTTCCTTTTTGCCATCCTGTATGTTGGCGTCAGTGCTCTTGGCAGCCTCGAAGTCTCCTACGGCGCGTTCGAGAAGGACGTTAGCCCTGCTTCCCAGAAGAAACAGCAGTAAACGTGCTTCCATCTCAGTTCAGCGTGTTCGTGCCGCTATCCGGCCCCCCTTACATACTTTGTGTATTTTTATGTCTGCGTCACACCTGGAGTTTTAGGACTGTATTTGGAGGGAATGCACTAGAGCTCATATGCTTTCGAGTTTGCAACGTTAGAAGAGGAACATAGGTAGCTTTTGAAGCGATTAAGCTTTCCACCATGTCGTTGCAATAAAACCATGTCTTGAACACTCACAGTCCCCATGGAAGCATGGCAGCTTATCGTCACAAGGCCGAGAAGGCTTGAGGCAATCTTTGATTTAAATAATTCTTAGTAGTGAGAGAAAACATTGAAGAACCACTACAACGCCTAGACTCCATCCCGTTCTTTTTATCCATTCACTTCTACGGTCGCGGAAGTGTGTAGCATGTCACTCTCCGACGACCTCAGTCTACCATGTGTCCATGCCCTACACCAAGTGGCTAGGCAGCAGGAAATTGGCAATCCCCTCCTTCACGGCATACTCGTGGCCGCAGTTCCCGCAAACCAATTTGCCCTCGGAAATCGAAGTCTCAAGAAGAAGATGGTGCAAATCCTTGAGCTTTTTGTCATCCGCCTCAAGCTCCTCGGCGGTTGGTGGCTGGTCTGGCAATGGGGGGAAGCCAAGCTGTAATTTTTTTTTTTCGCTGTTAGCCTGCATACTGCCCCGCGCTGTAAGAAAGGCAAAAAGGCCGTTTTCATCCCTTTCGACAATACCACGCCCCTCTAAAATCCGTCGATGGATAATTTCATAATCCTTTAACGAAAACTTACCTCTGATGAAGTCGTCCGCAGAGCTGTCCAGTCCAGGCGAGGTAGCACGTTGACTATCATATCCGAGTTCAGCTCGAGTTCGTCCTGCACCAGCTCGGCGTCTTTTGGGTGCAGGGGGTGAGAGGCGGGCGCGCTCTTGCAAGCCTTGACGGCGCAGGTGAGGAAGTTGAGGGTGAGGACTTTCATGGCTGGCGATTCCGATGGTGGTTCTTTTGTGAGGTATGCAAGTTTGAACGTTGGGCCCTCCGACTTACAACTTTTCGTTTGAGCGTCAGGTAAAGGCCCCACGTGACAACGGTCATCGCAGTGGCTATCCCGAAACTTTATTGACGTTCACATTGAGTGCATGCATGCATTCACGAGCGACCAGGCTTCTGTGACTCAATTTTTTATTCTTATTCTTGCTAACCACTTCAGAATCCCTCGCGGTATTCTTTATGGCGCTATGTACCTGATACAGTTTGTCCCGTCGAAATATACATTTCCCCAACTCCAATTCTACTTCTGCTTAAGCAATCAAGCCTCTTGACTTCTCATCGACAACCTTGGTCTGGCGCTTCTGGTGCTGGATGAAGAACATGACCGCGGCGAAGACAATGCCCAGGAAGAGGATTGTCTGGGTGCCGGTGTATCCGCTCTTTGGCGCCTCTAGCACGATAGGTGGCTTGACTACTTCCGTTTCATCGTCTTGGAATTCTTTGTAAGCGTACCAAGATACTCATCAGCCCACCGCCCAAGTTTGAGTGTATATGAAACGCGCTGTGAAGGAGACATAGGAGAAGAGATGAATGTATTTAGAGCTCGACGTGAATACCTTCAGGAGGAACTTCCAGCTCGCCGCTCTTGGCGATCGTGACAGGCTTGGCGGGCTTATCGCCTCGAGAGGTCTCGACCTTCTGGATCTTGTCGACAATGTCATAGCCCTCGAGGACTTCGCCGAAGACAACGTGTCGGCCGTCGAGCCAACTGTGATTAAATGTTAGCATGTGTAGTTTGGCGGGGGTGGTGGGGTGAGTCTTACGAGGTGATGACAGTGGTGATGAAGAACTGGGAGCCATTGGTGTCCTTGCCGGCGTTGGCCATGGAGAGCAGACCAGGCTTGGTGTGCTTGAGCTTGAAGTTCTCGTCCTTGAACTTGTTGCCGTAGACTAGAAAGCAATGCCTGTTAGCCAATGATCTGTCTATCACAGGAACAGGTCTACCCACTGGATTTGCCACCAGTGCCGTCGTGGTTGGTGAAGTCACCGCCCTGGATCATGAAGTCCTTGATGACTCGGTGGAAGGTAGATCCTTCATAACCAAAGCCCTTCTCGCCAGTGGCAAGAGCTCGGAAGTTCTCAGCGGTCTCGGGGACAGTGCCGCCGTAGAGGCCAAAGACAACGCGGCCGAGCTCCTCATCGCCGTGCTTGATGTCGAAGTACACCTTCTTGGTGATCTTGGGGCCCTTGGCAGCCTCAACGTTGTGAGAGAAGAGGACCAAGACCACTCCGAAAAGGAGGGCAACGGAAATGAAGAGTCTGCTGAAATTGATCATCTTGCAAAAGGTGTGATGAAGTCCGATCGTTGCGACAGAGCGACCTCGATGGACTGGTATGAAGGGGAAAGGGAGGAGAGTTGCAGAGGCGCTGTAGGGGACAACTAAACTTAAACGCCCGCCAGGAGCTGAAGCACGGGGGGTTACGACATCTGGAGCTCCACCAATACACCCCGCTGAAACACCCCTGGGGCAAGCAGTGGACCCACCACCCACCACTGCACAAGCGCTTATTAACAGCAGCCAGGTGTAGTAACGATAGCTCAAATATTTATCCGCCTTTTTTCCGATATCTTCAGATTTCGAGATGCGATGCGAAGGTTGGCATTGCAAACCTGAAGGGAACCAGCACCGTCGTCCAGCTTCACGTCGTCACAATGGTAAGTGTTCATTCAATGCGCTGTGTTTTGTCCGTTATTTGGAAATGTACGTAGTCTAATATGCAACAGGTGTTTATCTTGGGTGTCAACTTCAGCGAGCAGAAGCTCGTCTCGGTAAGGATTTAATATGCCGATACACGATACGGCCGAGCAATTCTAACCGCACGTCTCGAATAGAAGGCGCTTCAATCCTTCTATGCTCTCGGTCCCAGAGCATGCGAGCGAATCATGGCCAAATACACGATCTACAGGCTTGCTAAAGTCGGCTCCTTGGCGCCAAAAACAGTCACATCTCTCACCGCAGAACTCTCTCAGATGACACTCGACAGCGATGCAAAGAAAATCATGCAGGACAACATAAGGAGATTAAAGGATATTGGTTCATTACGGGGTAGACGACATGCAATGGGAATGCCAGTCCGTGGCCAACGCACAAGAACACAAACTGCGACAGCGAAGAAGCTCAACAGGCTCGACCGGAGATTCTAAACCAGGCATTGTTTGCCATTGGTTGATGCGCATTGGATATCTCGAGACTGAAATCAGCAGCGGGATCCCCCGAATTAGGCTTTGGGCATTGACGAATAGGAGCACCAGATTGTGTGCTCTTGACCTTGATAAGGATATGTATAATTGATGTACATCATGTAGGATACATGAAATAGACAGAAGAAACAAACGACATACGCCATCTAGCTGTTCCGTACCAAAATATCGTCCTTGTCTAATAATGCTCGTAGCCATCCGGATCTTCTAGAGCAGGTTCCCCAGCCGCTTGCATTTTGGCAGCGACCTTTTCGACATCCCTCCAAACACGCAGAATGTTACCACCCACAATTTTGCCGGCGTCGGTCTCGCTGACGCCACGTCGAAGTAACTCGGCAACTAGGTCCGGGTATTTGGTAACATCCTCAAAACCTGTAGGGCGACTTGGGATACCATCCAAGTCGGTTCCGATGCCAACATGGTCGTACCCAATAAGGTCGCCAATGTACATGATATGTTCAACGACCCGTCCCAGGTCACTCTCTTCAGGGACTGTAATTGGAAGCCCATTCTCAGCCCCGACGTCCCTGCAAGCGATGAAGTCGGGAGCAATGTTGACAAGAACAACCGAGTTGCGAGCCTTGACAAGCTCCAATACATGGTCTGGAACATTGCGTGGGTGGGGGCAAATAGCAAAGGCTGAACTATGAGAATACATTACTGGTGCCTTGGAGCCAGCCCAGCCTTCGCTGCCTCCTAGTATGTCCACCATTGTTTGTTCGCTTTGACACCAGAAGTCAGCAACAATGATCGGAATGTCATGGAAAATGCCAGGGAACTCACCTAGTATGAGAAAGGTCTACTATCAAACCCACACGGTTCATCTCGTTGATCAACTTTCGGCCCTCGAGACTGACACCATTATGGAGAGGAGTTGCTTTCCTCATGGGATTTTCTTCAAGGGCAGCGTCGGCAAACTTGTTATGACAGTTGTGGCTCAAGGTAATATAGCGTGCACCCATGGCGTGAAATCGTCGTAGATTTGAAATTTTGTTGCCGATCTGGTGGAGGCCTTCAACGCCAATTGGTGAAATTAGCTTGCCTTGATGAAATGCGGATATGGCAGTATCGACGGTGATGCCTTGAGAGGGAGAAAAGTCATCGGGAAACAGGTCATGTATTCTATTAGTGAGGTCAATTTGGTCATATGTGAATTGAACGGCTGCATCTCTTGAATCAGTCATACTCGATCAACTGGAATATCGGTTAACAGATCATTTACCTTTCCACTCATTCTCATCTGAGAGATCGGTGCCATTTTGAGGACAGGGGCTGTATACGCTCCAGAAAGCGCCGCCAGACAAGCCCTCTCTCAAGCGCTTGATATCAAGATCCCCAGGGAATGGCCCGTTGGCAAAGTTATGCTTCCAATCATCGTTGTCAATCTGATTTTTATACATGACACGAATGAGCACAGCGAGGTCGACATGGCCATCTACAGTAAACACATATTTGCTAGGTCAGAAACAATTGCCCACAGCGAAAAGACCAGCCCGGCACACAGGAAACACATGCTCACCAATCAACGGAGTCTTTGATAGAACGACACGAGCTCTCTCATTCGCAGAACGCGATTTATGGGCATGATGTGAAACGCGATGGTAGCAATGAGAGATTGGCCGATGAAGCAGGGCAAAAGACGCGATCATCAAAAGAGCGCTTATAATCAGGGTCTTGGGCTTGATTCTGAGACGTCGCCGCTCCTCTTGAGCCGCCTCGCCAGCTTCAAGGCATTGGCCCTTCTTAGTTGATATCATGTTTGGCCCTTTTTTATGTACATTGATAAGCCAAATGACTCCGGGTGGGATCAGGAACCAACACGACGTTAACTGCGGGGCTATGAAGGGGTGTTGAAGCGTACGTAAGTATATGTGGGACAGATAGTCACTGACGGCGGTTATGATATCAACAGGGATAGGAGATGTCGTAGGAGGGTGATGTGTCCCATGTTAACAGGGACTGCCAAAGGGTCCCCATATCTCAATTTTCCATCACAGGTCACAGTTTTATAGACAATGATTCAAAAGGCCAATAAACCACCAGGTGTTGTTTATCATTGCATACATGTGATGTGACTCGTGCAATTGTTGCGTCAAGGTCACTACGGTCCCTATTTTTCTGACAGCCACTTGGTGCCATCTTATGGTGGTGGGACGGGTTGTTCCTTGCACCAACAAATGGACCTTAAATCACGGGTATTTCAGTTCATTTCCTCTCGCACCCGAGTGGCTGGCTTCCCTTCAGGCGGGATCCGCGAACACCGTTGATCTTTCGTTCAAGGTCGGACTCACTCTCGCACACGGAGCTAATTGCTAGACACAGAGAGATAGCTGTCATCTTACTTGCTTATTGCGGAGACATATGCCCAAGGAGGGCAAGTCGCTTGCGACCTATCATACCTGTGAGACAAGACAGGCTTGCTTGCTCAATGCTATGCTTGCTGTTAGACCTCGTACCTCGCGTGACGAGATGATGATTCAGTACACAGGCAGTTATTCAAGTCAATCGGCAGCTTTCTGCCACACACCAGGGCATCAGGTGTCTTGCATTGGTGCCTGACCCAGGAATTAAATCCAGTGACGAGAATCTACATGCCAGCATCTGTCCAGTCCTTGGCTCCGATCCTGTACCCGTGCTACCCATGCCTTAAAACTTGGGTACTAATTACCCGCTAATGCCCCTAGTATGGTGTGTGGCAGTGTGCCTACAGCATGCTGTGGCTCGCTAAATTCCAGGTTGGCAGAGCCCTATCATGCCCTGCCGACTCAACCTGGCTGTGGCGCTGGGGCTGCCTCAGCATGCTGGCTGGGCTATTCTTAGTGCTGAGGGCTGACGAAACGCGAGACCTGCTAAGAGCTCGCTCCCTCATTGGGCCCAACCCAGCACCTGCACGTTACCTAGGCCGGGGTCAAGGTTCATGGCCTCAGCTGGTTTAGCACAGCGCTGTCGTTGACATTACTCCATGCTGCTAGAGACGGGGAACGAACATTCTTTCGCACATCCCTAACCCGGCACCGCCCATCTCATCATCCTCATATGAATTAGACAGCAGAAGTCCTGGCCTCGACCTCGACTCCTGCCTTACGACGTACAGCACCAGGGCTTTCCAACGCACCCAATCGATACCCACGCCCTCCTCTGTCTCTTGATGATCTGCAGCGCCCCGTGATCCTCCACTCCTTTTCTCAATTCGCACCCATCGCTTTTTCCCCTTTGGCTTCTCAGCAACGTGGCTTTCGATCGATTTCGCTCGTTCTCGACGATCCCCGACCTCACGCGACCCCCGCCTGCTTCTCTTGTTCCTGGCCTGGACACTAGGCTCCCAGAAACGCCTCTGGCAGTTGTTCGATCTCGAGGGGGCTCTATATCGTGAGCTAGTTTGGGAGAAAATCATCAGAAATCACGGGCCACAATAGCAAAAATGCCCGGTTTCGCAGATTCATTCTGGTCCAGCGACTATGCCGCAGGTAAGTCGCTTGCTCTTATACTTGCCTACCCCTCCCCGGTATCTCGCCCGGGCTAACTGAGTCGTGCCTAGGTCTCGGCGTTCTGTTTGGCAAGCTGCAGCAAGGCGCCCAGGAGAACCGACAAGTCTTGACCATTGCACGCATGCGTGCCGAAGCTGAGGAGCTCTACGGAAGTCGACTGTCTGATATCGCACCCGCCACGGACAAAGTGTCTGGTGGATTCGCACAGGATGATGGAGCTACAGTTCGCAAGGTTTGTTCACTGCTTAGCCATTCCGGCTTACTTGATTTCGAGCCCAATTTAATGTTTGAATCTCCTAGGCATATGATGGCATGCGGTCGGAAATGCAAGAGGCTGCTCGCAGCCACCAGCGGATCGCACAAAACATTCGCGACCTCGTTGTGAACCCTTTCTCTCGCTGGTGCGATGCTCATGAGAGCCGGCTACAAGATTCCCAGGATGATCTGCAAGCTCGGATCAAGGTCCACGATCGCCAGGCTGAGACTATCAAGAAGTTGCGATCCAACTACTTCAACAAATGTCGCTTGCTGGAAGACCTTGAGGAGGAGAACAAGTTGGGGTTCCAGGACCCCGAGACCAGCCCGAAGAACCCCGCCATCCCCGAGATTAAGGTCCAAGAGGAGGAGCGCGCCGAAATCGAGGAGGAGTTCTACGAGATTGGTGACGAGACCTACCAGCCTGAGCAGCTCAAGAAGATCCTATCTCAGATGCTTACGACCATCAAGATGGGCGAGCACAAGGTTGCGATTCTTGGCACTTACCAGAACGTCTCAACCGGGTCCGAAATCGTCGAGTATCTTCAGCGTCACATGAACAGTTCGAGTGTTAGTTATTCTGAGCGCATTGGGCAGGACCTGGTCAGCAACGGATTTCTGCGTCTTGTGGGTAATGTGGGAAGCGTTTTCGCCAACAGCTCTCGCATGCACTACCAATGGCGCCCCAAGGCCTTCCAGATGGGCGGTCTGCCAGAGAAGAAGCCGCTCAACCGAACATTCTCCATGCCTTCTACTGGATCGGAGGCCGGTGATAGCCCCACTGCATTTGGATCCGTCGGAGAATATCTGTCCAACTGGAACAACCGAAACCCCGATGAGACCCCTCGTCAACGACTGCAACGAGAGGTTACTGAGGCCGACAACAAGTATAAGGCCGGTGTAAGGCGCCTGGACGAGCTTCGCTGCGACCTCGAGGAGGCCATCTTCCTGCACCTGCAGTTCCTCGAACGTTGCGAGTTTGATCGCCTGAAGGCCATCAAAACCGTCATTCTTGACTTTTCAGGCACAATTGGCAACGTCATTCCCAGTCTGCAATCGACTGTGGATAAGATGCTGCTGTTCCAGGAAACGATTCAACCGCAGGGCGATCTGCGTTACCTTCTTGAGACGTACCGCACCGGTAGCTTCGTCCCCAAGGTTGTCGTATATGAGAACTACTATAACAAGGCAAACGAGCAGACTTTTGGTGTCGATCTGGAGGCCCGCGCCAGAGCTGATAAGAAACGAGTTCCAGTTATCGTCACCACCATTCTGACATACCTTGATCACCATTATCCAGACTTGGAGGGTGATGAGGCCAGGCGCGGAGTGTGGCTTGTTGATGTTCCTCTCGCCCAAACCCACAAGTTACGAGCACGCGTCAACGATGGGAAAACATTCTCAGCTGAAGTTTTGGGCGAGTTTGATGTTCCCACTGTTGCTAGCCTGCTCAAACTCTATTTGCTGGAACTGCCTGGTAAGTACCGATATATGCGACTGAAGCTTCTGCTGTTAAGGTCTACATTCGCTAACATTGTGTTACAGATTCCCTCGTATCGTCGCATGTGTATGAAATCATCAGAACAATCTATAACAACCCTACTGCTGATGGCTCAGAAGCATCCCGTGTTGCTGTTCTGCAGCAAACGCTTTCGCAGCTCCGTCTCACTAACATTGCCACTCTCGATGCCTGTATGAACCATTTCACTCGTCTCATCGATCTCACCTCCGCCGATGAAGAGTACACTGCTTCACTTGCCTCCCAGCTCGCGCCTTGTGTTCTGCGACCTCGTACAGAGACCTCGCTCACTCTAGAGGAAAAGCATGCCTACAAGCTCGTCCGAGATCTCTTTGCCCACAAGGACCCTATTTTCAGTGCGCTCAAGCGCATGTCTACTGTTAACCACAGTTCCTCCGTCAAGGGTAATCGTGGTCGTGCCATCAGCACCGACGAGAGCAACCGCAAGGCCTTGATGGAAGAACGCAACAGGCAATTGCTAGAGAAGGTAAACGCCAACCGAGGACGTGCTACCAGCCCTGCACCCAGTCCCCGTGGCCACAGACGCGATCGCAGCAGCGGTGGGCCAGAGACCAGGTTCCCCATCCAGACCAGCCCAACCACGGCGAATGATCGTGCTCGCAGCGGCTTCGGCAACATCAATAGCATTGCCAAGACCAACCGCTCAAGCCTCGACGTTCCCAGCCACGATGCAGATGCCATCAATGGCTCTTCTGAACCAGTAAAGCCGGCTGTCGATTCGCCCACCACCTCTGAGAAGCGGGATAGTCTTCACGGCCGTACCAAATTCGTGGGAGGACGCCGCGTTCCCGCCGAACCTGCACCAGAAGAGTCCAGGGGAATCACCCTAGAGGATGCCCCTATGGACAACCTGTAGTTATTTTTGTTCGGCATCTGGCGGTTAGCTTGGCGCTGTTGGTTTGGCTTTTATTCCCCCTCCCTGTCTGGACATTTATTGTTTTGCTAAGGCGAGTGGGAGCATGAGATACGTCTCTTTGTGTGTGTAAATCGAGCATTTCTGTGTTTGGTCGTCCTATTTGGTTTCCTCATCTCTTTCTTGTGTTGTACGTGGCAATGTGTAACCCTCCTACCGGCGATGGCGGCTTCTTCTTATCTAACCTGCGTTAGAGTCTATTATTAGGTGATTCCTTTATAGTAGACAGTTCAGTTTATTCTATACCAGATGCTCTCTTTCTTCTTTTTTTCTTAGCATATCAGTTACGATGGGATAGGGCGATCAAAAGTGATGGGTTTTCTTGGTTGTTTCCTCCCCTTTGAATGTTTCTATTTTCTCAAGTATCTAGTTATTACGAGAATCGAAATACTCAAGGCGAATGACGAATAGGAAAAAAGAGCTTGATGAATCAACCCACCTCATATGAGAAATTCGATATCTGCGTCCATGCAATGCATGACCTGTGCTAAATATCTATTCTCTACTAATATCCGTGGGCTTTTAAAGGGGTGACTTGTAAAACTTTGTCTAAAATCTCTAGGAAGGGTAAAAAAAATAGTCATTTATTCATTTAGTAGGTATCTTCCTGTACCGCGACCTCGGCCGGCTTCTTCTTTTTCTTCTTGGGCTTCACCACGACGGACTCTACGTCGTCGGTCCCCACGCCGCCTCCATTACTGTCCCCGGCCACCTCTGGCTTGGCCTTCTTCTTCTTCTTCGGCTTGACGTCGACGGGGGTTGACGTGCCGTCCGTCTTGGCAACGGGCGCCTTCTTCTTCTTCTTCTTCCGCACCACTGTCGTGCCCTCGGCGTCGACGCCCTGCGCAACCTGTATCCTCTCGTTGGCGCGCTGCATCTCCAGCCGCAGCCGCTCGACCTCCTTCATGGCCATCTGCATCTCGGCGTCTTCGCGCTGCTGCCTCTCGTGGTCGAACCCGCCGGAGGGTTCGCCCTCGAGGCTGAAGGATCCGATGGTGCTAGAGTCGACGCCGAGGAGCGACTGCTTCAGCTTCTTCGACTTGGTCTTGGTGAAGCTGTCCGAGTTGTTCTCCGAGTCGTAGGCGCGGGATATTCCGCCGCTGTCGCTGCCCTCGAGCGTCTCATCCGAAGCGATAACCATCTTCTGTCTAGGCCGAGGCGCTGGTCGCTGGGTGGGTGCCGAGGTGGCCATCTTGTCCAGATCCAGCTTCATGATAGGAATCGAATCGATATCAAGATCAGGGCCATTGTTGTCCTGGAGGATGTTGTGAATGGGTGTAGATGTTCGAGGAACGTCGCTGCGTGTAGGAATATAGAATGGGTCGTCCCTGTTGCGTTCACTTCGCTCTGCCTTTCTCCTCGCCACAATATCTGCATCAAGATAGCTATCTTCGGATGCTTCTTGATATGAGCCAACGGCCTCATCTCCCGGGTCGGCGATCCTGCTAATTGCGGGAGTTGAGGAGGAGATACTGCTAGGGGCCGGTCGCTGATGGTAGAAAATGTCAAAGTCGTCCACTTCGTCTTCTTCCCGAGCCCAGCTGTTTGCTTCCGAGAGGAGGAGGTTCAAGTTGGCATGGATAGGCTCGTCTAAATCTAGCCCTTCGGGTGCGGGGACATTGAGTTGAGCTTTGGCAGCCACCGAGTTCAACTCCCATCCACCGAAAAGCGCAGGTATAGCCTGGGTAAGTAACAGTGGCGGATCCTCAGTATTGTCCTCTTTTGATGCGGCCTGGGCAGAAACTGCCTCAGCAGTCAGTTTGAACAGCTCAACAAACTCTACTGCACGCCCCTGAACTTCCAGAGCAGGGTGCGAAACAAGGGGCTCCAGAGAATTAATGATGCGAGCTATCAGTAAGGCAATCCTAGATTTCCTTTCTGGTGTCCAAGGTTCAAGCTCATTCCCAGACAAAGACGAAAACACCTTGGCTGTCGCTTGAAGTGCTGTGGCCGTGACCTCCGGCAAACTGCTCCGTGGGATGAGTTGCAAAAGGCCGTTGAGACTGTCATCTGGAGTGGTCAGCTGAACAGCATACTCTCCAAGCATCCAACAAACGGATTTCAATGCTCTAGATGAAATCGAATGTCCAGCGGGAGTATCAGCGTTCATTTGAGCGAGAATGATCTCCGATGCCCTTACGACAGTGGCCCTCATGGCTCTAACTTTAACGGCAACATTTCTCAGCTCGTCCCCAATCCTCTCCGACACGTCGGTCGAAGGTTTCGATGCCGAAGATGGCTCAAGATCGTCGTCCGTGTTTCGCACAACTGGCGCGATGCGTACCAGTTGAGTGAGGACATCAACGTACCAGTCAAAGTCGTGGATGTTTGCATAGTTGTCCTTGGAGCACATGAAGAGAATCCTACCAATAACATCTGTACGGTAGTCCTCGGGAAGATCCGAAGCTGGGTTGCTCTGGCTTGCTTCATTCGGCGTCTCTTCGTCAGAGTCAGCGCCCATGTCAGCCGATGAGCCGCCAGCGTCATGAGCATCCGCAGCTAACGCTGCAGATTTCAGCTGTTTCATCAATCGGCTTACGACGAATACCAGATTGTCTCCAGTGACCATACCCTGGACGAGGTCCAGGGCTTGGATCCGGATAGTAATGTCAGGGCTATCAATGCATTCCAAAATCACATCTTCTTGTTGTGAGACGAGATCGGGGTGTGTAAGCACGATCTTGTTGAAGGCAAGAAGCGCAACGTATTTCAGATTTGGATCGCCATCGATCATGACCATACCTCGCAGCTTCGTTACGCAGAGAGTGGCGATCTCTTCAGATCCCGAGTCGTCTGCACTTAGAATACCACCTTGGATAATCCCGTTGATGCACTCGTATAGTAAGGACATTGCAGGTGTTGTTCGGATGAGAGTCGTTAAAGGTGGGAGGAGCTTCCTCACGAGCCGCGGTTCCAAAGGTGTGAGGGTTGCAAAAAGCTTGATCAGCTTAATAGACATCCAGTTATTGCCACCTTCCACCAGCAACTCGAAGAGTCTTGGCGCCAGGGCCAGGAAATCGTGTGGTCGCCGCCATCCTAATTCACATACCACGTTGACAATGGCAGCTGTGACACTGGGATCTTCGTCGGGATCCATCAGCCTCTCCTTGATCTTGGGCCATGCTGCACGCAAGGCTTCAGGATATACCAAAGCCAGTCGGTAGAGAGTAACCAACGTCTTCTTTCGGATGTTGGAATGGCTGTGGCCTAATCGGGGCAGGAGGTCCGCTAGTACTGAGAGCGCGAGAGAAGGAGTGATGAGGTGAGGCAGGGCGGCAATCGGAAGAGATATCACGGTTGGAGTCGGCGATCCCAGGTCCTACCCGCCATCATCCGGTCAGTCGCCGCATTCAGCATATACGGTTTTCAACTCACCTTTTTCAGCAGGTTGGTAGCCAACATGAGGACTTCGGTATCCGGCCGAAAGCTTTGCACAGCACCGAGATATCCTACTCGCTTCTGGTGATACTTGGGAGATGACATAACTTCGAGCACGTGGAAGGACGCCCAGGACATGTCGTAGCCCACCATTTCGAGGTAGATGAGCTTGAGGAGTGCCGTCGCCTTCACGTCTGTTTCCAGTTGTAAGCAAGAAGCTACGAGAAAGTGCCATATAGACAGCAAGGAGATGAAGATGCATACCCATATCCTGGCTACGGACTTCAGCGCGACATTCCTTCAAGCGTTTCTGGATATACTCCTTTTCATTGCCCTTGTGATTTCGCAGCCCTCGAATGAGGTCGTAAAGTGACTTTTCGAACCTAATAACCCCAGTCAGCCTCCCCTAAGGTCATTCCTTGGGCCGGTGCGAGCTCCAACGAGGTCATACATGATGCTGATATTGGGGCCCTACGCGGGGCGACAGCGGCGGGGGGAGGAACCAGCTTTCGTGGGACTGGAATGCGTGACGATGGATCGTTCTTAGGGGTTCGTGGGAGAAGAAAGTCGTCGGGTCATTCTGGCTGGTGGTGGGTGAAGCTCGAACTCCGTAGCCGGGGCTGTGTCGAGCTTGCGGAGCGGGAGTGTCGTGCGCACGTAGCGGGATGTAGAGCGAAGATGACGATCGGTCCCATGCCCCAGCCCAGCACAGGCAATTAATTGATGGGGTCGGGACCTAAACGGACCGACCACCACCACCAAACCACCACCACACCACTTAAGCCGCATCGTTGCGACAACCACCATTAGACCTGCCTGCCCTGGCTTTCAATCCGCAGCCTAACCTTCGTATCCTGCAGGTCTGGGGTTCCGGCAGCTCTCTCATTTATTTCGCCATTCCTTAATTGATCATGCATAATTTATAATGACCACGCGACGACGCCTATCTGCACCACCAGCACCCAAACTCCTCTAATCCGAATTCTCCCAACCCGCCTCTCTCAATGTCGGCCTCAGCCGCCTCCCGGCTCCGCCTCCTGCCTCTGCGCACCACTTCCCCCCTCTACCGGCACACCACCGCCCCTCGCCTCTCCCGCCCGTTCATCACCCTCCCAGGCTCCGACCTCACGCAGACCCTCACCGCGACCCGCATCCTCCCCTACTCCCGGGACCCCCTCTACTCCCTCATCGCCGACGTCGACGACTACTCCTCCTTCGTGCCCTACTGCTCCCGCTCCCGCGTCACCCACTGGTCCCCCGCCGACCCTGCCTCTGGCGGCCGCCGCTGGCCCACCCGCGCCGACCTCCACGTCGGCTGGGGCGGCTTCGACGAGAAGTTCACCAGCCGCCTCACCTGCGTCCCGGGCGTCTCCGTCGAGGCCCTCAGCGGCGGCGTCAGGGGCGAGCCCGACGCCTCCTCCGTCTTCAGGAGCCTCGTCACCCGCTGGCAGCTCCGGCCCCTCGGAGCAGGCACGGGCAGTAGCAGCAGCAGCAGCAGCCCGCCCAGGACCGAGGTCCACCTGTCCATCAAGTACCAGTTCGTCAACCCGCTCTACGCCGCTGTCAGCGCGGCCGTGTCCGACAAGGTGGCCGGCATGATGATCGAGGCGTTTGAGAAGCAAGCGAGGCAGAAGCTGGGTTCCCAGGCGGCTCTCTAGGTTTGGAGGCGCAGTGTAGAATCACCTATCCATCTCATGTCATACAGCATATATTCGGCGTTTAAAGGAAGAGGGGAACTTGTTAGAAAAGCTCACGCAGTGCGGATTTCAATCTTAGACAAAAATAGATAGATGTATATGTGTAACTAGGGTATCCAACAACCACACCAAAGCACTGCGTGCATAGACAACATGCGATGCATGCATTCACTCACAATTTCGAGCCAACGTATAAGTCTAATGTTGCTCCAATTTCCCTAATAAAAACACAAACAAAACAAATTTGAATAAAAAAAAAGACATCTCGGACCAAAATCCAAATCCAGACTTCTACTTATCCAAACTTCTTCTCAGACACCATCCACACACACCGCTTGCCATGTGAACTTGACCACCCAAGACCCCTTGTAAAGAACACCGACGGCTAAACTCCAGTATACATGCATAAGGACGTAGATAATGATTCGTTCGGGGGTGGCTTTCGTGAATCGCTTTAAGAGAGGAGTTGAAACGATGTAATGATGCTGCTGCTGATCCTCCAAAAAACCAAAATAGGTACGATATCAATTGCCTCAAATAGTTGGGCAAACATAGGAAAATGACGGCTATATGATCAAAATGCTTTTTAGAAGGGAATTTTGAAATCATTTACTCTTCGACCTATCAAACACTGTAAGTTGACGAATCCAAATTCAGGGGAGGTGGAATTCTGAACATACTTTCTTTTCGGCTTGCTACCCCCGACAATGAACCCCAGAAGCCCCGGGTTTCCGTGGCTCTTCTTGTCTTTCTTGGCCTTGTGAGGTGCGGCGTTGACCACGGTCACGCCTTCGGGAACTCTTCCATCCTTCCCAGGCGCACCAAATGGGGGAGGCATCGGCATCGCGCCCCCTTTGCCTGGTCGGCCGGGGATGGGGCCGCGACCACCAATTGGTCCACCGTGCATTGGAATCTTGCCTCCTGGGCCCGGCATCCGAGGCGGAGGCATTTTTTCGATCGGCCACATAGTCATGGTGATAGCCCAGTCTGGTTCAACCACCTTCTCCCATACAGAGGGCAGGATGATCTCTCCATTAGGCCCAATTAAGTCGTAGTGGCCCTCTTGGACGTGCGGACCCAGAGTTTCCACTTGGAGGAAAGCTTGCTTGATGAGCTCCTCCATACCCTAGTGATGAGTCCGTTAGCACGTTGTCTTCCCGTATCCAAACTTTAAAATCACAGGTACTTACCGCCCAGGTGGCGCAAAGGTGGAATGGGAAGCTAAACTTTCTGCCGACCGCATCTTTGAACCTGATCGGTAACTTCTCGGCCTTCTTCTTCTCCTCCTCAAACTTGGCCTTCGTCTCGTCGGCAATCTGCTTCTTCATCTCCGCTGCTGCCTTGGCAGCGGCGGCATCAGCTTCAGCCTTGGCTGCCGCCGCCTTAATGGCCTCCTCTGCAATCTTTTTCCTCTGCGCTTCAGCTTCAGCTGCAGCCTTTGCATCGGCCTCGGCCTTGGCAGCTGCCGCCTTGATGGCATCTTCTGCGATCTTCTTCTTCAACGCTTCAGCTTCAGCCGCAGCCTTTGCTTCAGCTTCAGCCTTGGCAGCTGCCGCTCTCATGGTTTCTTCTTGAATCCTTTTCTTCATCTCCTCGGCCTCCTTAGCAGCCTTGGCCTCGGCTTCAGCCTTGGCAGCTGCCGCTCTGAGGGATTCTTCTATAAGTTTCTGCTTCATCTCTTCGGCCGCCTTGGCGGCTGCGGCCTCGGCTTCGGCCTTGGCAGCTGCGGCCGCTTTTGCGTCAGCTTCCGCCTTGCGGGTCGCATCTTCTTGTATCTGCTTAATGCGCGCCGCTTCCTCGGCCGCCTTCTTCTCGGCAGCAAGTTTCTGCGCCTCTGCTGCCCTGATGGCATCCTCGAGTCGGCGTTGCGCTTCCTCCTCGGCTCGCTTGCGGGCCTCTGCCTCCATCCGGTCCCGTTCCTCCTTGGCCTTCATCTCAGCCTCAAACCTCTTCCTCGCTGCCTCCTCAGCTTGGGCCATTGCCGCAGCATGTGCCTTCTGCCTCTCCTCTTCCGCCTTCCGCTCTGCTTCGATGCGTTCTCTGGCAGCTTTCTCCGCTTCTGCCTTGGCCCTTTCGATTTCCTTCTTGGCCTCCTCCTGTGCCTTCCTCATATCTTCCATCCGTCGTGTAAAGGCATCCTCGGCATCTTTTCTGATTTGGGCCTCAAGTTCTCGTTGCCTCTCTAGCGCTTTTGCCTGCTCCTGCATTGCCTTGAAATTTTGGAGCTCTTTTTCGAGCCTCTCCTTCTCAGGATCCGGCTTAGGAGGTTCTGGCTCCTTCTTCTCCACTGCTTGGCTTGGTGCCTTCACCAGCTCGTTGCTCTGTTGGTGCTGTTGAGGCCCAGCAATCTGATGAGGTGGCTGGAAGTTTGGATGCATTCCTCCATAATAGTAAGGATCGTGATATCCCATCATGCCGTATGGATTCTGACCATAGGGGTTGTTACCGTATTGGTATGGAACCATTCCTTGGGGGCCGCCACTGTGCATCGGTTGCATACCGCCGCCATACATGCCTTGTCCAGGATGGTTGCCGTAGCCGCCACGGCCAGCATTCGGATCCATGTATGGAGCATGGCGCCCACCTCCTGGAGCATGTCCATTTTGTGCTTGATGATGGCGCATCTGTGGGGGGAAGTGTGCACCTTCTCGGCCATAACGGCCGTGGTCGTCGTAGGGAGCCACGTTGGCTGCTTGATGTTGGAGAGGTCCCGCAGGTGGGAGGTGTCCGCCGCGTCCACGCGGCGGAGGTTCAGCTCGCGCCGGGAAGTGCCCACGCCTACCACCGTGTGGTTGAAGCGGGCCTTGCTGCTCTTCGAAAGAAGCAGAGTCCGATTGATCGACTATATCGTCGTCGGTATAGTAGTCTTCGTCCTCTTCGTCGGATAAGCCAGTGTATTCCTCCTCTTCTTCGCTATTGAAAGAGTTCGACTGTGACGAGAAGCCAGCAGGTATTGACGATTGATGATGATGTTGTTGCGGGTGATAACCGTTAAATTGTCGAGTAGTTAACTTTCTAAAGGGAGTTGTCAGCGCGCCGAGTAGTGAGGAAAACGAGGGGGCGGGGTTGGGAGAAGCGAAGACGCACGGCATGTCAGATGAGGTTGGTGGACACCTTAATAACAACAACTCTCGCTTGGTCGGGGACAATCGGCTGAGGAAGGGCGGGCGGTGATCAACGGCGACGCTTGGAGAATTAATAGAGCAGCGCTATGGAGAGCTAGGCCCCCGAGGGAAGAAGTGTCAGCCTATGCCCAAAGAGGCGCAAAGAATGAAGACAGCGGTGCTGCTGTCAAAATGCGACTAAGACCAATGCAAGCGCAAGAGAGCAGAAGAGGGGAGAAGGGGAGTAGGGGCGCGGGAGAGGGGGGAATGCGCGCGAATGGAGGGGTGGGCTATGCGAAAGAATCAGGTCGGCGTTGTGACGATGTGTGGTCACCGAGGCCAAGGCAAAGTAGTAGGAGGGAGGGGTCAAGAGCTTGGACTGGCTAGCAAGCGGAACCTTGGCTCCTTGAACGTGTGCTGTGCTGCGCTGCGCAATGCTAAATTTTCTGCGTTGCTTACCTACGTTGTAGGTAAATCACTGCTGCGTCGAGGCAGATTTGCTGGCACACACCAAACCCGGCCTAGGGCGGTAGATTACCGAGATGATGGGTAAGGCTGAAGGGGCGGGTGGAAACTCTGAGAGACTAGATCTCGAAAAGTCAATTACTTGAGCTGTGCGTCGTGGATGATACGAGGGGCGAGTGAAACACAAGCAAGCGGGCGGCGAGGAGAGTGTATCCGAAGGTGGGATGAGATTCGAGGGTAACGCAGGTTGCAGCCAGGGAGATCGGTTGGAGACAGGCGAGATGGTATGTTGCTTGGTGGACGGCAATGTTTGTTCTTGCTGGATGTGGGTGGTAGGACTGGCTTGTTGACTTTGGAAGAGGGGCGATTTGCGTTGGGAAGGGAGGGGCAGCCAAAATGGGTGTGACGATGGACTTGATTTTTTTTTTTTTAATGCTGGGGAGGGGACTGCTTGTGCTGGCTGTGGCGCTCTGCAAAGAAAGGGAGGGGCGACGGTAAATAATGAAGGGCAGAAACCGGCGGTGAAGGGAGCTGATGCGAGCCGCAGAAGCAGAAGCCATCCACCGGCATGATGAGGCTTCTATTTTCTGGGCCCAGTGTCCCTGTCCTGTCACCTACTTGTGCTGAGCACAACCTAGGAACGGGCCCTGGCCATCCAGAGCCGTCGATGCTTCGGAGCCCCAGCTTGCCAATGCAGCCAGCAAACGACCAACAGTACCGGTAGGTCCAAAAATGAGATGCATTGCAGGCAATGCACTGCGCCCTTGCACACTTGCTGCCCGGGCGAATCGCCAGTCACGTCTGATGGGCCAATCTATGGAACAAGGAAGGCCTGACGGATCGTATACGGCCGTGTGCTGGTGTGTACCCAAGGAAAACAAGCAAGCCCTCGTCACTCGAACGGCAGCCCGGAAGATGGCACTGGCCAGCCACAGTAAGCACGCCTGCACAAGCGTGAAGAGGGGTGATGGGCCGTCGCCAATGGATACCGCCATTCATCGAGGACAGCGACGAGCGAGGCGAACGACTGCCTCCAAGGTCGAGTCCACACGGATTTGCGACATGTAGGTACACGCCACTGCATGTCTCTCATTCAATCACCGTCCGACCTTGGCACGAGTGGTTTCGATTGGCACAACGATCGGGTATGTGGACCGCCCCAAGGGACGCCAGCGAGTAGCGACAGCAGTCCGACAATCCACAAGATCATGTATGTACGATTGTGGTCAAGCGATCTGGCATGGCTTGGCTTTTGCTCTGTTTAGAGCTTGCTACGCCGAGGGCATCCCTCCCATCGACCTCTAGCCGCGACAGCACGTCTGGTCACTCGACCTGACATGCGCTGCAGCGCGACAAGCCCAAATGCTGGCAACGGGTGTCCATGGATGACTATCGACATTGCCGAAAGATGGCTGTGGGAACTGCAGGCAAAGCACTGGCTGCCTGGATTGGGAGACGCACATGCACCGAGTCACATCGAGCGCAAGATGATATACGACGACGGGTGTGTGCGTATGTCTGCGTGCAGCGGCGTGCATGCGTGCGTGTGTACCAATTGGCACCGGGGAATAACGAGCGAATAGGAAATCGAAGCATTTGCTTACTTACCGATTGCACGTCTCCGTGAACGAGGGCGACTGAGTGGCAAGCAGAAAGAGCCTGCTGGCGACGATGTCTTCTCCCACACCTCCAACAAGCTGAAAAGGACGACAAGGAAAGCAGGCGGATGAGACCGAGGTGGGAGCGGGTGCCGGGGGGATATATGATCAGAGCGGTCGAGTCGAGGCTGGCTTAGGTCGGTCGTCGTCTTATGCGGGTAGCTAGGATGACTGTGTGTGTGAGTGTGTGAGCTAAAAAAAAATAAACAGGCGCCAACAGAATGCCAGTCGTGACCGTTTGTTGTTTGATTAGTAGTAGCAGGTCGCTATGCAAACACTTCCTTCAGCCACCGAGAGGGAGAGCAAGTCGGTCAGCCAGACACACCCACCAATAATCGCAGTCGGCTCCCTCAGCTGGTCCAGTGACTGGGCACTTAGTAGCGGTTACTAATACTCTGCGAGGCAAAAACCTGATCCCAGACAAGGCTTCCTGTATTATGTTAGCGTCCCTTGGTTGGGCCTCTATTCACACGCAGCCAGGCTTTAAGTCAGAGGGGCGGTTTGGTTCGCCTGAGTGTCTTCCTGTAACGGTGCGGGTGGTTTCGTGCTCAAGGCTCCAGGCCAGGGAATCCAGTTTGGCAGTGGAGGGCTCCGGTACTCCAGCGGTTCCAGCGCTCCCAGGGTAGGGGGGTCCCGGGATAACCTGGGTGGGTGAGCCAATTGACACTGCCTTGTTGGTACCTAACGATACCGATGCCGACACGCAGGGCAACTTATTAATCAGCCAACAACACGCAGCAACAACAACTTTGACCGGTGGCCTCCTTTGGTAAATGGTCCAAGCTGGAATGTCCAATATGTCCGGCAGTCTTACCTCAACACACTAGTCGAAGCGAGCAAAGCACACAGCTTCTCTCCAAATCGATCGGTCGGCCTGTCAAACTAGGCTTCTGTTCCCAGCAAAGCACGGTCCGTTTTTCTTCGTTGGTAGTCTGGGGTTCCTGGAATCTGGCAACCTTGACCAGCCAGCCAAAATGGGTTTGGTTGTTGTGGACTCGTCGAGCAGAATGGGGCACTTCCCTTCCAAGCAAAGATGTGCTGTGCCGATACGGACGAGGCAGCTAAGGTCGTAGAATCCAAAAGAAAATAGAGTGGTAGCCGCGACAGTCTGCACCCAAGTCGCGAAGCCAAGGAGGGAGGGTATCACGGTTCAGTACGTCTCTTGCTTTGTTCGCCTCCTTCTCAGCAAGGAAGATCAGCACTTGATATAGGCCGGCCCTACACTCTTTATACGTGCCGTGTCAACGCATGCCACGCAAACGCAAGCCATACCCGCGCTGCTCGAAACTGTCTTGCTTCGTGGCTGCTTGCATGCATCCTACGTCCCGCTCAGTCGCCATCTTTGCAAATCCTATGTTACCCGTCCGTCCTGTTCTCCGGAATCCAACCACGTTGGACGCACCATTCCTCGAATATGTGTTCGAGCCTGGTCTTGCGGCCTGATCTGACCCGGCACTGCCTCCGGACTCGCAACTTTCTTTAAACGTGGACGGCGGTGGGTCAATCACCAACGCGGCGACAGGCATATCCCTGGCAAGGATCAAGTGCAGAGTAGCATCTCAGCAACACGGGTCGTTTGCCACCCCGCCATAGCCTGCCATTGGACTGCAACAGACCCCTCGCGCTCATCATGGTCAGATGGCCCTGGTTCCGCTGGGCTAGTGGACCTTGGACCGAAAGGCCAGGCCATGGAGGCTTCTAGCTCAGTGGGCCAGAGTCGTTGCGCAGGGCGTTCGGTGGTCGAGCCCCGGCAACGTGCATTTTACCCGACTACGCCCAAGGATGAACCCCCCCAATGAGACAACACATAGCTGGCCTCGGTGCTGTTATTCGTCTCTCAGGATAGGCAACCATCGAGGCTTTCAAATTTTCATTTTCAGCCCGCCAATTGCCTCTGTCCGTACCATAACAAGTGAGTACGTTGCAGGCTGTGCCTCATCGGTAGAATTATGGGACCAGAAGTGCCCATCCCGCCTCGAAAAACGACTCTCTCACGGCCCAACGAATCCTGTAGAGTTTCTGCCCAACCATAGTCCCAGCACGATGCAAGCCTTGGTTGCATCGATCAAAGTCGCATCCCCACCCCCAGCAAGCTGTCTAGGATAGAGCGATGGAGTCATTATGCGCCCAATGTTGAGGAAAATGTCACCTTTGTTTCATTACAAGCCCGGCACATGATGCTGAGACGACTTTAGAAGCCCGTTCCTACGTGTAAACCTCTTGCCTAAAATCCATCTAAACTTCCGTTAGATCAGCTGGGCAAAAAGGGAAGACAGCTATCACATATCCACACATTACATGGATGTCCCCAGATCCAACATGAGGTGGAGCATCCGATATGTTGCGTCAAGAGACTCGGCTTCGTTCCATCAAGTCAACAGGTAAGTCTGCAGGGAGATTGCACTCGATAATAGGTGACAGTTAGTTTCTCAGTCACCTTATTATATCAACCAGTTTTTGAGGACTGGGCACGGCAAGGGTTCATCAAGTGGTATGTTCTATTATCGATAGTTACTCAGAACCAAATTCAAATAGCGACAATTATTAATATACAAGTATCTCTGCTTTCCACTAATAATGGAGACCCTGCACATGTTAGTTCCAACTCCATGCGCCACGTAGATTATGTAAATCAAAAATGCCTCTTCCACTGTGTCTGTTTTCACGATGCGGTTGACAGCCAGTAGAGGTCCTCCAATCAAACACAGCAATCCCCTCACTGGGTATCAAAACATGCGCTATATGCACGCTCCCCAGTCACCCGGATCAGTGTAAGACATTCCGAGGGAGCCAAGGCCCTGCTCTTGGGGACGAACGGCTGCGATCAACGGCTCGGAAGATGAGCCGCAGAAGCCTGCCGCGCTCAAAGAGCCAGCATAGAGAGAGTGTCACTTGATCGCCAGCTGTATTTCGCAATCGGATCATCGCACTAATTGAGGTGCCGACGCCTCAAGTAGAGTTTTCGCTGCGGCGATCTCGTCGGCATCATAGCCCTGCCAGAGCTTCTCCTTCGCATTATATCTCCGTACAATCTCTCCCAACTTCGCTGTTGCTACTTGGTTTAGCTTTTCAACTTGCTTTTGGTCGGGAAGTTTCGGCTCATCAGCGTCTTGCTTCTTGCTCTTCCCAGCTTGGCTCAGTACTTGGTCGGTCACCTGGGCTAGGGTCAGCAATTTCAAGTCTGAGATTAATGGAGGAATTGGTGTCACACCTTCTTCAGTCCGTAATATCCTCGTAGATAGTCATCGCACAGCTCGATGCTACGGCAGAACCGCTTCAAGGCCTCGGCAAGGTGCCTAGTAGAGGACTCGGTCTCTGAGTTGGCTGCCATGAGTAGGATCTCACCCAGCCTTGCATGTACCTGCAGTAAAATTAGCTCCCACGTCCTTGTTCAACAGAATATAATAGCGCAGCATACATTCCAGGCATTTGGAACTAGAACGAGCACTTCCTCCAAAGAGAAAATAGCCTGTGAGTAGAGCCCTTGTGTGAGGTACAAGTCTGACAACTCGGCCCATCCCTCGGCGTCGGTTGGGGTAAAATCGAGCAGGGCTGTCAGAGACGTGATCGCTTCCGGGATACTTCCCATCGAGCGGAGCAATGCGACCTTTCGTTTTGCGATGGGCTTATCGACTAGTTAGTCCAGCATCATCATATTGGCCACTGCTATACGCACAATGTTGGATGAGTTCTCCTTAAGAATGCTGTCGTATTCTCCCAGTACGGCCTGCAGCTGATCTCTGCTCTCTGCTTCGGCTTCCTTCACAAGCCCCTGGAGCGCCATGATTTGCTCATTCTTCTCGCCAAACCGAAGCACAAGCCTGTCCAAGCACTCATGCGCTGACTGGTCGTTCTTCGTCCGCAGACAAGCTACCAGAAGGTTCGTGTAAATGGTCCACAGATCTGCAGTTTCCGAGGCTGTGAAAAGCGATACGAGCGGCGACGAGGAAATGGCCTTTGGGTTATTCCGGAGGATTTCAGGTGCTTGTTGCGCAAGCTGGAGAGCTTCGGCTGGTGACAGGTGGCCTTGAGGCCCCAGTAGAGAGGGCGCCATAATTAGAATCGGAGGAATAGTTCGAATTGAAAGCAGGAAGAAGGGAAAACCAGGAATGACCAGTGTGCTCGAAGTAATTCGGTGGATTGTTGAGAAAATCAAGCTCGACTGTTTGAACTCGTGAAGATGCGGTGCTGCGGGAGCTCAACGTCAATGAACAGCTCTCAATTCCGACAGGAGCAGTGGGGCAATTGAACACGAAGTGATTGGTCTACATCTCCCAATCTCGGAAGATTATACACTCCGGTCCCGACCTGGCCGTTGTGCCCCGCGACACGGTCTTCAAAAAATTTCTGGCTCAAAATTTCTTTCTTCTCTTCCTCCTCCTCATCTCGAGTGCGCTCCTTCTCAGCAATCGGGTCCATGATTGACTAGCAGCCATCATGTCTACAGTGCTAACTGAAGATGCTGGGAGTCAAATGACTCCCCCAATCGAGGGCGTCGCAGAGCTAAATATCTCGTCACCGCCAACAGGAGCAGAAGGCGATGTACCCTCGCACAGATCTCATGATCCTGCGACGAACGCAAAGCGAACTGATCCATTCCAGTTTGGTAGTCGCTATCTGGAGGCGGGAGACAATGTATTCGAGTACAATGCCTGGGACCACGTCGAGACTGACGATGCGTACAAGGAGTACGCTCAACGTCAGTTTGAGATGCAGCGTCAGTCTCCCGTCTCTGACTTTGACAAGAGTAAGTTCAAGCACCTTCTTTCCTACTCCCCAACCTTTGTTTTCTGGAACCCACCTCCCGGGCTCTCCATGTGATGTGATGATTCTCCAACCAAAATGCATAGTTCATCTGATACTACTGATGACAACCTAGCCTTCAAAGTCTTTCGCTCCCATCTGATCTATCACTCAAATCTCCCTTGCTCTAAATTGCACCTGCGCCGATATCCAGACGCTAACATGAGATTCAACAGACAGATTCAACTCAAACCCTGCCAAGTGGTGGAATTTGTTCTACAAGAACAATACTGCAAACTTCTTTAAGAACCGCAAGTGGTTGCAACAGGAGTTCCCCGTCTTAGCGGAGGTCACAAAGGAAGATGCTTCACCAACTGTAATCCTAGAGATTGGAGCTGGGGCTGGTAACACTGCTTTCCCCATTTTGGCCAACAACCACAATCCACACCTGAAAATCCACGCCTGTGACTTCTCGAAAGAGGCTGTAGAAGTTATGCGCAAACAAGAAGAGTATGACACTAAACACATCCAGGCCGATGTGTGGGATGCCGCGGGTGATGAGCTTCCCCCTGGTCTGGAAGAAGGCTCCGTAGACATTGCTATCATGATCTTCATCTTCTCGGCCTTATCGCCCACCGAGTGGGTAAAGGCCGTGGGGAATGTGCACAGACTCTTGAAACCCGGCGGGCTGGTCTGCTTCCGAGACTATGGAAGAGGTGATCTTGCTCAGGTCCGCTTCCGTAAGGGACGGTACCTTGAGGAAAATTTCTACATTAGAGGCGACGGCACCCGCGTCTACTTTTTTGACAAGGATGAGCTTGCCGATATCTGGGAGGGAAAAGACAACACAGCCGATGATGCACCCAAGTTTGAGGTTGAGAACCTGGGCATTGACAATCGCCTGCTTATAAACCGGGCACAGAAATCGAAGATGTACCGGTGCTGGTTGCAGGGTCGTTTTAGGAAGAAGTAAGGAGCTATATTTAAAAAATTGAAAAAAATTGAAAAAAAAAAGAAGTGAAATCCAAAATCGAATGGCCAAGATCTATCTATGTCTAATTCAAATCATGCCTTCGCTGGGTAGAGAAGATTGCGTCGGAGCGCTGCTCTCTCCTCCTCCTCAAACCCAATGAAGTCGAGATATCCGTTCAACCCACCGTATTGCTGATCTAGATGCCTGATGATCCCTAAGATCATATTCTTGTCGGTTCCCGCCCATTCCTCGGTGAGTCCTATTTCCCCTATCTCAGCCAGCCTCACCTCTCGCTCGTGAGCAATTGCTTCATCCGTAAGAAAGTAGTCATATTCGATAGCTTCAATCGGAATACCCAATATCAGCAGCACCAAAGCGGCGATGAGTCCTTCGAAATCCCAAGTCAGCTTGACCTGTCAGGTGTTCAGATTGGTCCTAACCCATGGTCTCACCTGTACGGTCCTTGCCGTGTGTACAATGAACCACGCTCGGTAATGTACTCTGTGTCGCATACAAGGATAGAACTTCGCATATCTCGTAACCAGATTGGTCCAGCGTATCCAAGCCAAGGCCTAGAAGCCCTTTGGGTAGCATTACCTCTCGGCCGATGACACTGATGGCTTCCATGCGATATCCAGTCGCATACAAACCGACGCAGTTACTAGGATTCAACCGATACACAATCAGTGGTGATAAAAAAACACATGGCAGAGACGGCAAGCTTACAAGAACCCCCACCAGGACAACTGGCGAACCAGATGTCTCTCGAGCTGACGCCCTGCAATCTTGATCTTGTGGTATTCCACACCGGGGATCTGGATGGGGTCTGGACCATCGCTAAGCGACCGATAATGGGCCTCTAGCTGAGTCTTGTGCTTCTCTGCTTCCCTCAAGTGCTCCGTGCTGTTCCAGTTAGCGAAGCTAGGTTTCAAAGGAAGGGGGGTGTTACTCAGTCCGTAGATCTATCACAGTTTTGATGCCAAGATCGCCAGTCATGATCTTTTTATCCGGGGTAGTTGCTTCGTCTGTTGGAGACTATTGTGTAAGCTTAATCGAGAATCAAAAAAAGGTTAACTTATAGTCTCACCGAGTCTTGCGGAGCGGAACACCAAGCCTTCCTTAACACGTCTGCTCTGTAGGTTAGCATCCCCAAGCCTAAAAACCTTCCGCGATATCCATTTGGGGGTCAAAAGTCCTGACCTCTCGCCTAGAAACGTGTTGACGACATAACCAACATCTCGAAAGTTGGAAACCTTCCGAAGGTTCACCAACTGGTCCGCCATGATAAAGGGGGTAGAGGATGGGCGTTAAGTGAGATGGTGTTGAACTTTCACATGTTCTCCAGAACATGGCGTATTCGAACTGCCGTGTTGATGTTTAGGGTAGCTCGACTCCAGGGGTCTGCCAGGGATTCGGGATGCGCCCCAAATCTTATCACCCAGCCACTTGTGCTCATAGCTGCATTAGCAGTACCTGCCCACCAAGAATCAATTATCATTTGTGATTACTAGAGATGGCCAGTCACAGCTCCTACATAGTCACAAAACAGGGATTATTCTTTTCCGGGGATCCGGTTTTCAGGTGATGTAAGGACTGGGTAGCACTCAAGGGTAGCACCCAAGGAAAGCGTATGCCGGATCAGCAGATGCGAGCCCCAAATAGCATTCCCGCCATCACATTGCAGCACAGCCGGAGGCTTAGAATACATACGCCATGCCCCTCCGCGCACCAGGGCCGGGTCTCTTTCGACTGAAGATCACAATCCAGTCGTGGAACAGGGATTGCTGATGCAATTGACGGCAGTTATTGGCTAGCCTCTGCGGGGAGACGGTGCAGCCTACGCCATCTGCAGAAAGCGAGCTGAGAGATGCTGCACTGAAGGTCAGCGCGCGGGATCCGTTGGGCGACCGAAGGTACCGGGCTAAAGTTAGTGCTAGCGCTACTGATAATAGGTAGGTACCACCATGATCAAGGCTCTGGTACCGACATTTACGTGGTGTCAGACCACTCAAGGCTGTACCGGCGCTGGAATTGCTGGTTTCCCACTATTGCCCAGCTGAGCGAAGTGTCACTGGCCCCGCCATCCTAAATACCTGTAGTGCCGGTTCGCCTGGAAGCACGTTCCTTCCTGGCGTCACCCACCACGATCTTCATGACGTCAGTGTCTGAAACCCTTCTGCCGCTTCAAGCTCCAAGCCTCTCGACGGCGACGCACTGGCGTGGTCTTGGCTGCCGGCTTTCGAGAGGGAAGAACCCTGGCGGCCTGAGTAGCTCATGCGCTTCGTCGAACTAGCCCAGCATGATCCATTCTGTTATAGTCTGACCTCGTCATCATCCTCAGACATTCGTTATATCAACTCCGTCGTCATCCGCCAACCCTCCACCTCTCTACAATCGTCCTCAATCCCGGTATCGTGTCTATTTCCTTGAACCCTATGGTCCGACAGCAAATATTCGTATTCTCTACATAGATACTACATCATCACCCAAATCCGGTCAATCCCACAGCTGGTTCCAGGGCTGGCCCACCTCGGAAACCCAGGCGCCATCGCGATTGGGCTGATATTCACAACGTCCGCCTTAGCACCCATCAGCTATCAGCCTTAATGCCATTGAATACGAGCTACGTCGCGACCATTTAAAAAACCAGAATCATGGCTGAAGCCACGCATCAAGCCCCTCTCAGTATGCTACTTCTAATCTTTTGGGCCCATCTCTGCTGAGCGCTGCGACTCTCAGCCCTACACCATGCTAACATATGAATCACCTTGCATCAGCAGCCAACACCTCCGGCAGGCTTAAGTACGCCGATCCTCGAACGTTACCGAGCTTCCCTTCCAGCGGCTTGAGACCGGACGGCGCAGCAGCTAGCGCCGCTGCGACACTGGGCTGGAATAACCAAAAGTCCATCGAACCGTGGAAACCAGAGAAGCTGTCTTCTGCATCTGCCGCTGCTGTTCTGGCGAAGGACTATAAGATGGCGCCTCAGTGGGAACCTTCCTCGAACTCCGCGGGTCATAAGGCGGCTCTTCTTGCTGTGGACTCGGCGAATTCTGCATTCAAACAGCATTCGCCTACCAAAGATCAACATGAAGGATGGGGGAACTCTGCTGCCTCGCAAGCCTTCAATGCAAACCGACCCTCCTCCCCCAAGAAGAGCGACATGTCTCATGGCAGCTCAGCCGCAACCCAAGCCTTCAATGCCAGTCGAACCCAGTCGTTGCGCAATGTCGAACAGCCCACATCCCCGCCAGCCGACCGTTCACTGATCGCTGCTAAAGGCGCCATGTCTTTTCGGCGACCACGCGCATCCTCAACCCCCACCACACCTCGAACACACGAACCGCACTTGCAGGACAGCGCTGCAACGAGCGCATTGAATGGGGCGTCAGTGGCCCATAGAGCCGCTTTGAAAGCGCAGTCTTCTCCACACGACGCAGGGGCTGTTCCTATCACTACGATGACTCGGAATATGTTCACATCAAATCCTATGGTGAAGCCTGAAGTTGACGAACGAACGAATAACGAAAGGCTGCACCAGTCAGCAGTGGAAATGGCGAGGAAGATGTACAGCAACCAGCAAAAGGCGGGAGGGTCTCCTTTGCTAGGTTCTGAAGACAACGCAGAGAAGCCTTCACAGTCAGCGGCTGGGTATGTTAACCTGCAAGATGCGGCATATAAACAGGCGCAAGAACGGTTGGCCAAATTGCAAGACGAGCACGAAAAGTACTATGGAGGCTCAAAGCCACGCCGCCGTTTCACTGTTTCCAGTAGGCTGCGACGAAAGAGCTCGGATGACGATTTGATCAACGACCGCGAACAATCAGAGAAAATTCGCCAACAGATGTCGATGTTCTCCAATAAGCTGTCAGAAGTTGACCAGACGAAGCGGAAGCAGGAACATGATGCTCTCATGGCGGCCGCGCAACGAAACGTGAAAGCCCGTTTGCATGGCATGGATGAAAAGGTCTATCATGAAACTGGAAAGGTCAACCCGACGCTTCTGAGCGATTGGGAGCTCAAGGCGCAGCAAGCAGCTCAGTCGCGCCACGAGGGACGCAACGAAAATAAGGGGAAGCTTGATTTGGGAGGAGGCATGTACATGGATCCAAATGATGTTGATGCCATTGCTGCGAAGAGGATGCAGCCCCTTCTCGATGATATCAGTAAGAAGGCTGAGGCTGAACGCGAGCGACTGGCAGCATTGAAACTTGAAGAAGAAGCCCGAAAAGCAGAATTGGAGCAGCAAAAAGCTCGCGAGAAGGAGATCAAAGAAGCTAGCAGGAAAGCGCGAGGTGAGAATTTCCAAGTTGAGTATAGGCTAGTCTTCATGATAAACTAACACCCTGGTTATAGATGAGGAGAAGCAAGAGCAGAAGGCAAAGAAGCAACAAGAGAAGGACGTAGAGAGGGCACGAAAGAACCAGGACAAGGTCGAGAAGTCTGAACAGAAGCGCACGGCGAAGGAGGAGAAGCGCAAGTCAAAACATGATTCTGCCAAGAGCGGCATTGATGGAAGCGCCGCTGATGACGATGCTGGACCTGCTCGACCAGCAACGGGTGAAGGCTCACGCGCTTTTCCTGCTATAGTGACAACGAATGTTGCTAGTGACGCAGGCCAGACCGGCAACACAGGCTTCGACAGTAACCCGAATTCTCCCAGAGATGAGCCCTTGTCACCTACATCGAAGGTGAAGGACTGGATCAAGAATCGATTTTCTAGAGGCAAATCTGTGGGCGAACAGGACGACCCGAAGAAGAAGAGGAGCTCATTCATAGGTGGTGTCTCGCTTAAAAAGTCTGAGGCAAACGGAAGCACCACGAGCCTAGATCGTCGCGCCTCAAGCTTGAAGGATGTGGCCCTTGCTGGAAAGGGCCGCGACGAAGACGTCCAGGACAGATCAGGCTTGGTCGACTCAGAGGGAGTGAGCCCTATCAGCTCACCAGATGATGACGCAAGACCATCTACGTATGAAGTTGACGCCGCATCGTTCACGATGCGGCCACCCAGGCCGATTGAGGATATCGTTCATCGTTCGAGCGCAAGTCCTACCCGCGATTCTCGATTCAAAGAAGAGATTGACCAATGATATGATGATGCAACTCTTTGCTTTACAGCACACGACTTTGGAGTATGGTGTCGGGAAGATGGTTAATTTACTTATGACTTGATAGTATTTTGGGTACCTCACGCAATTGTTTTTGGGATATGTCAGATGCTTTGGAATACGAGGGAACATAATATTTGTGGCCGTTTTATTGTATCAATGGATAGTAATATGATCAAATCCCACCCAGACCATTCTCATCTCATGAATAAAGAAACTCAGATTTGCTTCAATGCCCGTAATGCACTATAAAAAGGGAATTTAATTTTCGCTCTGTATAAAATGAAATCTTCCCCCACCAAAAAAAGGAAAATAAAAGCAAACCCGGTCGTTAAAACGTAAAAGTGTGCAAATTTGAGTAGCACCTCCCTTCTACTCTTTCAATGACATGAAACTAGTATTTTTTTTTTCATATAAATCTAGAAAAGGCCGGTCTCCAGCGTCGATTAAAAATGGATGAGACGACGGCCGCGAGTGTACGCGGGCTGCTGCTGCTGCATGGGTAGGGACTCGTCGCTGACGGGATCGCCCTGGACATTGTCGCGCAGGGACGGCTTAGGGAAGCGCTGCGAGTACGACCTGGTCTTGGTGGCCGGGTAGAGGTCGACGGCGAAGGAGAGGACGTATCCCGTGAAGATGAAGGCGATGACCCACTCGAAGTAGGCCGCGATGCCCTGGTGCTTGCGGAAGGTGAGGACGCCGAAGGCGATGCCCAGGGCGATCTCGACGAGGATGAATGTGAGCTTGATCCAGAAGGAGATGCGGAGGTGGCGGTGCTCTCGGTTCTCTGTTTTATCTGGTTAGATTGTTGGAACGTTCTTTTGGGGAGATGATTGTTGGAACGTTCTTTTGGGGAGATGAAAGTGGACGTACTGATACCAAGGCGCTGATATTCCCAGCAGATGAAGATGGCAGAGATCACGTAGCCTCCCATGAACAGAAGCAGGAAAACATCATGCAGGGTCGGATGCCGCACGGTGTCGAAGATACTGAGGCAGATGAGGCCCACAGTTCCGACGATGGCAAAGATGATTGACAGGCCGAACAGGATCTTCTCCCCGATGGATTGGTTCGGGACGAGGCGGCCGCGGTGCCGCAGCCAGCGCTCCGTCAGGAACGAGATGTCGAGGGTGGCGGTGACGACGCAGCTGCCGGCGATGAAGAGGGGCTTGAGCTCGTAGGCACCGATGGTGCTGATGTAGGGCAGCGTCATGCCGGGCTTCATGGACGAGTAGTGCTGCTTGTCGGTGTCGATGACCCAGTAGAGCAGCATGCCCAGCAGCATTCCTAGCCATACGAGGCTGGAGAAGACTGGGAACCACTATACATTGTACTTGTCAGTTTAAGATACAAAGGTGCTGGAAGTCGTGGATTCAAATTACCCAGTATGAGAAACAGTTTCTCAAAGCCATGGCGATATTGGCTTTCTAAATTGAGCGGTTGGGGAAGGGTGGCAGGTGAAACGGGAAAGGGAACCGCCAAGTGAAGACATCCAGGAACAGATACGGAGCAGAGGGTGTTGAGATCTAGCCCCGAGACTATATGCAAACGGGATGGATGAGATGGGAGCCCATCGGGGGTTGCGTTGGGTATGATGCCATGGCCTCAAGCTATCCAGCCCCGGTACCCTGCCATATGAAGACAGGCACGCACTACAGCGAGAACAACTGGCGGACTGACATAAGGGTCTGCGCGGTTCCTTGGATGCACCAGTGAGATCATCGACGGGGAAGCATCCACCTTGGTGTAAGTCAAGGGTTCGTTAGGTATGTATTCGTCCATCAGGTTGCGGCAGAGTTGGAGACGGAGCTGGCGCGTTGTCCATGACGTCAATGGTGATCGTCATTGTGGGCTCCCTCTTTTCGTCCCACAACCGACAACCTACAAGCATTGACCAACCTCGACTCTGGATTGGACCACGCAGAAGATAAGCATTTTTTTTTCTCCAGAAAAACAAATATGGCCGCCATTTCAGTATCGAGGTGATCATTTTGCGATTATGGTGTTGCTGCTCTGGACCACTGACACATGTGTGACCCCTGCTGAACCCCAGACCCTGTGCATCTGTTCGTCTAAGCAACTAAATAGTTGTGCATTGGCTAAACTGCTGTTACATTGGGAACTAAAGATTCATTTCATTCCGTTTTTAATTTCCGTCCGGTGATTCTTGATTATGACAATTTTGAGTCATCTGATAGCAAGGGGCAGACTGATCTGCTTGTACCTTAGGTATAGTACTCCCATAGGCACTCAAATACTTGTCTTAAGATACTTGTCTGGAGTCTACAACATATTAGCGAAAACAACTGGTTGATATAAATAGCTATAATAGAGACATGCTCTAATTTGCATTATACACAACGAACTTTTCAATTCTCAAGATCATTAACACAAGCTAATTAGATGATTCTTTGGCCTCCTCGAACTAAGAGTTCAGCACAAGAAAATCCAGTAGATCAAAGTACTTGTTTAATTCTCTTCTTGGAAAGACACCGTTCTATCCAAAGTCTTCAACCCCTTCATCTCACACGATCTTATCCAAGGCCAACGTGCTCTCCATCAGCCTGCGAACATGAATTCCGACCTAGCACCAGGCTTTTGCCGTCTACTGGGCACGGTCGCCATGATCCTCCACCTTGATTCTGACCTTTTCCTTCTCCCTATCGTCGTCATGACCCTTATGGTGATGGCGGTGGTGATCATGGTCCTTGTGGTGAAGGCAGTGGCGGTCATGATCCTTATGGTGATGGCGATGGCGATGGCGGTCATGATCGTGATGACGGTGGTGGTCATGATCCTTGTGGTGATGGCGGTGGTGATCATGATCCTTGTGGTGATAGATGCGGTGGACGTGGTCTTTGTGATGAGGGCGGTGGTGGTGACAATGCTTATCATGATGATGGTGATCCTTGTGATGATGAGGGTGGTGATGGCCATGGTGATGATGAGGATGGTGATGACCCTTGTGCTTGAGCTTGTTCTTGATCTCATCGATAATCTTCAGCTCCTTCTCCTTGGGCTCCTTGTGGTAATCCTCGACCCGGAAATCCTCTCCTGTGATATAAGGAGTGCTGACGAAGCGAGCAAATGCCTTGCGGATGCTGTGGGGAGTGCTTCCATCTGTGGCACCCTCCTTCCTGAATATTTCAACTTGAATCTTCTCACGCTGCAGACGACGACCCAGCTCGTAAACGAATGCCTAGTTTCCGTTGTTAGCATATATCACGCCTAGGAGGTGATGCTTGGAAAGAAGGAGATGAAAATTGACTTACGTAGTCGGCCGCACGCAGACTGTTGACAGCAGTGACGATGAAGTAAGCGGTTCTGCCTTCAATGTGCTCGAGCTTCCTGCTGATCTCCTCAAGGAGCCTGATCAGAGCTTCCGCGTACTAAAATGATGCAGAGACAGTCAGTTAGCTTCCAATATCTTCTTGCAGCAATGGTTTTTAGAACATCTTCCCAAAAGCGATTGATAACTTACACGGCAATAGCAACGGGCAATATGGGCTTCCTCCTCTTCGGAGAAGCACTTGTCCAGGCTGGACTTGTCAATTGCCCTATCGAAGAGGTCGAGTTTCCACTCAAGCTCATACAGAGCCTTGCGGACTGGCTCCCAGCATTCGCGATCGCCGTTGCCGCACTTGATGTCCTTCACATAGTCAAAGAGGTGGTCGGCCTTGTGAGCCAAGTGATGGAGCCTCTCGCAAATACACTTGGCGGTCAGGTCCTTATGCTTCTTCTGCTTCTCATGTGCATGCTTGTAGTGGATTTCATGCTTATTCTTGTCATGGCCATGCTTGCGGCCGAGATCGTGATGATCATGCAAACGGTGAATCTTGTGGTCATGCTTTTTATGACAAGGCTTGTGGGGATCATGCTTTTTGTGACAAGGCTTGTGCTGATCCTGCTTGCCACACTTGGGACAAAGCTTGCGGTGTTTGAGGGTGTCATCCTTCTGCTGCTTGACGTTGCCGTAATTGATTGGTGTTAGTTTCTTGATCTTTGTGATGAAGGCGGGCTCTTGCGTAGGGCCCTCTGGCTTCCGGTACCCGGGAACTTCCATCCCCTTAGGTACTTTGAAAAGCTCCTCGGGCGAGGGTAGATCGCCGGGCTGTTCGTCCTCAGCTTCCCTGCGATGGTTCTTTCCAGTTCGAGCTCTGAACCTGAAAGTATTCAAATGATGAAACCTTGAGTCCCTATGGGGAGTTTCAGCGAGCTCATCCTGAATCCTCTCGAATTTATTGGGGAATTCTTTGGGGTCATAAATCTCCTTGGACACTGTGGCAAGGGCAAAGGGGAACGCTGCCAGAGCGGCCGTGGAAAACGTGAGGAACCGCATGATGGGCACGACCAACAACGAGCGAGGCAGTACTCAAAGAATGAGTGAGAAGGTGGGTAGAAAGGAAAACTCCCAATCTGTGATGAATGACGGGAGGCAAACAGAAAATTGATGGCCAGCCATCATGATCCTTAAATAGCCGTCCGAAGGCCTGATGAGGCTATTTACTGATCTCGGGAATCGCGCGTGGATAACGCGGTTTGGTAAATGTTATGCCTTTTCCAAAGCCAATTCTGACGTGAAAGAGTCGAGAACAGCTGTAAACTAGGACTCCGCATCATAATTTCGTATTCGAACAAGCCTGAAGATGAAGCCATCTCGAACAGCCATCCTGAATCAGGGGGTAGTTCGAAGCCAGACTCCAGCTAGGCATGCAGGATGAGGGAGGTCACTGATATTAGGATTGAAATTTGGAACATGTGAATCATAATGCCGCATCAAGTGAGGTAGCTCATCGAATTGAGGTTCGCACTAGAGAACTTTCCAGGCTGTTGTTATATGATATGGTTCTCGTATTGAGATCAACCTGGCCGGTGCTTTGCCAATGAGATATCGGCCAGTTGACGCGAGGCCATCTTCATAAACAACTCGGTACCGTGTCTCTGCAGAGCGCGTTTCCATCGTCCATCTGTGTCTTCCTTTGGCTTAGAAGGAAAGTTTATAGGAGAAAGACGGCTTGAAGGAGGTGAGGTTATCGATAAGGATCTTCCAAATAGCCCCACTCCTTGGTGTTTTGTCAACCAGGAGCTATTGGAGAGGTGAAAGGAATGAAAAAGCACAAAGTAATACTGCAAAACAGATCTCAATACCCAAGTCCACGGAAATTCGGCTGTAGAAGTGGCTTTTATACAAGCCATGTGCCATCTATTGGGCGAAATTTGATGAGTCGTTGTAGATTCAGCACGTGAGGAATAGCCGCCCATCCACCAGAATTCACATGATAGGCCGCTTTTAGCCCTTCTTACATCTCGCATCAGTCGGTGCCTGCTTGTGCGCTTCAGCCTTCCCAAATACATACAAAATACGTCAATCGACACATCCAGACCGACCAAACGACAACCCAGATATCGCCCGCCTCTGATTGAGCCCACCCACTCTAGGAGTCTGTTGTTTGCCGCCTTGCGAGCTGAGTCTGCGAGACGGCCTCTGGTTCTCGGTTCGCCAACCCCTCCAACCATGTCTCTCTCACCGGTTGTCACACTGCAACAGCCACAGACCGTTCGTTCTGTCTCGTCACCTCTCAAGACGCTCGCTTCCGGACAGACTTCCTCCAATGGCACTCCCAGACCCGCGGCTCAGCCGGCCCCAAAGGCGGTAGCCCCCGCCACCCTCGATGTCGCCGAGCAGATGAACGAGGAAGAGAAGCGGAAATACGTCAAAGGCAAGTCATGCCTACGGCAGCCCGAAAGCACCGACTCCCCCTTCATTGCTAACTTTTGGACCCCTCTACAGGCAAGAAGCTCGGTGAAGGTACCTACGCCATAGTCTTCTTAGGCCACCTCCGCGCGAACCCCGCCGAGCTCGTCGCCATCAAGAAAATCAAGATGCAGAAGGAGTACACAGAGGGCATGCCCCCCGACGCCGTCCGCGAACTGAAGCACCTCCAAGAGCTGCACCACCCAAATATCATCTCCCTCCAGTCTGTCTTCTCCTCCAAGGACCAGAACGTCAACCTGGTCCTCGAGTACCTGCCCCTCGGCGACCTGGAGATGCTCATCCGGGACACCACCAACGTGCACTACGGAGCCGCCGACATCAAGGCCTGGATGGGCATGCTCGTCCGCGCCATCTGGTTCTGCCACGAGAACTTCGTCCTGCACCGCGACATCAAACCCAACAACTTGCTCATCGCCGCCGACGGCGAGGTCAAGCTCGCCGATTTCGGTCTCGCCCGCGGCTTCGGCGACATCCACTCGTACATGACCTCCAACGTAATCACCCGCTGGTACCGGCCCCCCGAGCTGCTCTTCGGCGCCAAGCACTACGGCGGCGCCGTCGACATCTGGTCCGTCGGCACCGTCTTCGCGGAGCTCATCAAGCGCGCCCCCTTCATGCCCGGCAACAACGAGCTCGATCAGATCAAGCTCATCTGCGACGCCATCGGAACGCCCACGGACGACAACTGGCCCGGCGTTACCACGCTGCCCGAGTACACCGTCCCCACGCAGAACCCCGTCCGCGGCAAGGACTTCTACATGTATCAGTTCGGCACCGTTGGCCCTGACGGCGTGGACCTGCTGATCCGGACCCTCGCGCTCAATCCCAAGAAGCGCATTACCGCTCGTGAGATGCTCAGCCACCCTTGGTGGCACGCAGAGCCCAAGCCTACGCGCAAGGAAGACTTGCCCCGGAAGGATGGTGGAGAGGACAAGATGGGTGCCGATCTCAAGCGGCGCCCAGGCGTCGTTGAGGAAGAGAAAAGGGGTGCCAAGGTTGCGAGGAAGCTCGATTTTGGCGGAGCCAAGTAAGGTGTTAATATATTTCTTTCTTTCGGCTGGGGTTTCTATCATCTGGGACCTCACTTCTTTCCTATCATTTCTATCCGGAGTTTTAGATATATATCATAGCGAGCATTTCATGGGATTTAGAGACCCTCTCAAAAGACGAGGGTGTACAAAAATGTATTGAATTTAGAAAGAACCAGGGTTAGCAACCCCCCGTTCGAACAAACAAATATTCCTCCGAGATGTGAATATGTACCAGCCATATATATAAAGTTTTATGAAACCGTGAGAGTCATGCCAAGCGTAAACCTAAACATCCTTCATAGTCTAAATCTTGTTAGGAGCTTCCCCCTGGTGTACCATCTCCTCGTCCGGCTCCTTCTGAGTGATATTCCCAAACAAACACTCCCACAAATCGGAGCTGGGAACCACTTCTCCAGCGGTTTTGTCTTTGCTCATTAGCTTTGAGAGGGCCGCTTGTTCTAATTCCAGCGTGTTTGCAGCCTCCAGTTTGGCGTCCATAAGCTCTTGTGTCTCTTTTCCTTTCGCAGTTTTCCCCATGTGCTCGAGACGACGCTTGACTGATAGATTGTAGATGGATTCCTCGACAGTGCCAGCAGTAATGTATAACCAAACTGTTGTCTTGTGTTGCTGGCCGATGCGGTCCACTCGCGCGATGGCTTGCAGTTCAAGTGCCGTATTTACAAGAGGCTCGCAGAGAAAGACGTGGTTAGCATTGACCAAGTTTAGCCCGCTGGAGTGAGCTCTGGCGTGGAGAAGGAAGACCTCGATGGCTGGGTCTTCCTTGAAACGTGTTGTCCCACCATGGCTGTCGATGGAGGCGTATCCAATCCGAAAGCGCTTGAAAGCCGTGGCGAGGATCCCCAAGAAATCCTTATATCTATTAAGTGTATAATGATTAGAATGGCAACCAATGGCACTGCGAATATAAACTTACTGTGAGAAAATAATCGATTTCGCTCCTGGATCAGATTCTCGCAACCAAAGGAGATGTCGCACTAGGGTGTCGACCTTGCTTGTGTAAGATGGGCCGTCAAGCTCTATGTTCTTTATTTCCGCTAGTTTTTCCGAGTTAAAGGACGAGTATATCGTAGTCTGTTGCTGGTTAGAAACCCCATTACTTGACTGGCTTGTACCGGAAACATCTGGATCGGCAACGCCTTGGGGGTCGTTGTGAATTTTCAGTGACTGTGGCTTTATTGTGATATCGTGAAGCTGCGAGACATTCAAATGGCGCTTGCATACTGGGCAATTTCGATGGGCTTTGAACCACATCATCATGCAGGCTTTGCAAAACTGATGACCGCAAACCGTCAAAACACCTGTTTCGAAGGTTGTCTGACAGATGACACACATGCGAGGCTCATTGGATTTGGAACCAGCCTCTTTCAAATACAGCACTGTGGATGTTAGTACCTACAGTATTTGGCAGACATTGGCATGGGCTTACAGTATCTGTGTTTCCCCTCAGCAGAGGCCACTTTCTGTGTGATTTCTTCTTCTGTCTTAATGATCCGGGCAAGCGCCTCTTCTGTTTTTTGACCATCATAGGGAAGAACAGAGTCTGAAACAAACTGAAGTTGTCGGTAGTATTCGAGACGGGCGTTCATGGTGGCAGTAAACGTATCGATCTCGGATTCCAGAGAAGACGATACCTTATGTTGCTGGCTGAGAGCTGCCTGGGTAGCTTGAAGTTGCCGCGATGCTATAGATTGTTCCGCTAAGATACGTTCAATTTTGACCTTTTCGTTGTTTAACCTGGATGTCAAGTTACGGAGCTCGTTTGCTTGTGTGGTGGGATTTAGCTGTCGTATTGCGGCTGCATGGTCTGCAGCAACCCGTTCGGCCTTTAGCTTGTCGTTGGAAAGTCTGGATGTGAGGCTTCTGAATTCGCTGATGGCTCCGCGCATTGACATGATTGCCGATTGAGGCTTGATCTCTGCTCTGTCCTGCATAAGCTTTAGGAGTAGCTCTGGGGCAGGACCCTCCCCATTCTTTGCTAGTCTGATTGATGTCTGAGTTTCATATTTGACCAATTCGTTGGTTTGTCCCGACATGGCATCCTGTCGGTCAGCAATTGCTGCCCGAAGAACTTGGACGTAAACCATGAGATAGTCTTGAATCTTGGCAGACTCCCCAAGCTCCTCTCCGGTAGTTTCAACTTCATCCTCTTCGTCAATAAGAGACTTTAGCAGAAGTTGAACTACTTCCTCTCTCCACTCGTCGATAATGTTTGCCTGTTCATTCAGCTCTCCGTAGAGCAATTCGAGTTCATCAATAACTCTACTGCTCTCAAGTCCTCGCTCAGGCCTAACGGTAAGCTCAGGGATCTCAGCAAAATCCTGGCCGGATCCCTTGTGGGATAGCTTCTTCATTAGCCGCGTTGTTTTGCGGTGGCTCTCTGAGAGGATCTCTCGACGAATTTCCTTTGCTGTATCATATCCTCCGTCCTCCAGTTTCTTGAGCTCATTATACTCATCCGAGTCTGGCTCCGTCATTTCTTTGTTGTCCCGGATCTGGAAATAAGCATTGGCGCAGAAAAAGACCGCTCGGTGATGCAATTCTAGGGCCGAGCGAAGCTTGCGGCGGCACTCTCCCAGCTGGCCTCTGTGTTCTCCGATGGCCGTCTCTTCATCTTCGGAATCATCGGGGTCTTCTGGATTCTGAATCTCTCGGGATGGTTTCCCTTTGTTTTCGGTGTTTCTTTTTAGCATGTCTCGAAGCTCAGAACGAGCATTCTCTACAAGCTCTTCTGTTGAAGCCCTTACCTCTTTCCAAATAGAGAGTGCTTCTTTAACGCGCGGGCCGTTTTCGAACAATTGACCCCGAGTCAATTTGTTCAAAAGAAGCGCTCTCTCTTCTGACCTGAGGCTGTTTTCGCTTTGCTCAAGCATGGCATCTAGAACTTCCTCCACCGTCCTCATCGGCTTTGTCTTATTTTGTCCCAGTACTCGACGGCCATACACTCCCACCTCGGGGTGTAGAGCAGTTTGCCGCAGTCGGTTAAGCCAAGTTCGCATTTCTTCCACGTAATCTTCGGGAGTCCATTCATCAGTCACCGGCTGGCCTTGGGTATCGAGACCACAAGCTTCTGCCATCTCTTTAAACATGGACTGGTAATGCTGTTCCTCAACAGCTGTGAATGGCACACTGATTGCGAAGCGTTGCTGTGGTGGGAGAGAAATCTCATCCCGGACTAGTGCCTTGGTATGCCTTATAGCTATCGTATTGAATAGTTTCTGAAAAGCAGGTTTATGTTGTGTCAGAACAGCTCGCCAGGCTTGTGAAGCAGAATCCAGGGGCGCATATCGTAAAAACATGAGGAGGCCGAAGAGGTCCTGTACACTATCTTTGACTGGTGTACCGGTTATCCCCCAAGCATTGACTCGCGGAATGACCTGGCTGACTTTGGCTGCTTGGCTGATTCCGTTCTCTATCATTTGGGCTTCGTCAAGACAGAGACGCCACCACAGAATCTTCACCAGGGGCGATTTTGGCCGTTGATATTTCCTTTCCTGTCTGCGCGAGCGTTCGGGAGCGTCGCTGGTGAAATGTAACTCGGCAGAGAGCACGCTATAGGTGGTTACTACAATATCGCAGCTTTTGAGTCTCTGCACCGTCTCCTCCTCATCTTCCCCCTCGCGCTTGCGTCCCTTGTAGAACTCACATCGAAGTCCGGGGGCGTGGCGAGATATCTCAGATATCCACTGCTGTCTCAGAGACTCCGGGGTAACAATTAAAGTTGCGCCGCTTGGAATTACTGGTGGGTTCAGATCCTCGCTCCCATCTGGAAGAGACTCGGGTAGTCGGTGTAGAGAAATGAGACCCAGAATTTCAAGAGTTTTGCCTAATCCCATTTCTTCAGCAAGTATGCCTCCTTTCGTCCTTCTCTCGACCTGCTGAAATGGGGAATTGTCCAAACAGATCGTATGAAAAATGTCATTAAGAATGAATTCATTTCCGTCCAGATCTTGAACATGCCTCGACATATTGCTGATAGGAGCTGGAAAATCCTGTGCAAGGAGACTAATCCCCTTTTTTTCGGACCACTGGACACCCTCTCGTGCTAGTAGCCATTCAAGTGATCTCGCCTGGTAAGGGTATAATGTAGCCTCTAGTCCGGGTATCTCAAGCGGGATATTTGTTTCATCCCGAATGGGTGGGACATATGCCGCCTCATAAAAGTCCATCGGATAGGAGGCCGATTCCGGTGAGCCTGAACCAGGGAAAAAAGTGTCAATTAAAATTTGGCTGGCTTGTCTGTGAAGAGAAGTGCGTAAACCATTGAGAGGTGATGGAGTTACGTTCCAATAAAGGTCGAGGTCGAGTCTCATGGTCGCCATAGAATCTCGTCGTTCCACCGTTATATCGACATTATACCAAATTGTGCCCGCCGATCCATTACGGTCCCCTCCAAGATGAATAATCTGGGCCACATCGGGGCTCATTTCAGAAGACGAAAGTGAGAATACTGAGATGAAGGATCCCAGCCGGTGCGGGGGGCGAGACTTGAGAGTGAAAGAATTTGACTGCTGATTAAAATAGAAGGAAAGAAAATGGTCGATGGCCTTCCGTGCTGTGGTTGTTGGCTCTGACGCACTCTCTGGGCATGGTCGAGAAAACTCGATATGGCCTCTTGCAGCATGACAACATGGCACGGGAAGAGGGTCAACCTTCCTCCGTTTGCTCTTGGGGGCCGTGTTAGTCGACTCGCTGTCATGTAAGGATGGAAGTGAATAAATGTATTCAAATAGGCTCTCAGAGAAAGGTTCTACAGAATCTGAAGAGGTGATACGGTTAGAATTTGGATTGCTGACATGGAACCCGATTGAACTGACCATCAATATCAGATTCACGAAGAAGGACAGGGAGCCTGGAGGGCCCTTGCTTAGTTCGGACCATGATAAAGGATATAGAGGGTTGTGACGCTTTTATAACGAGATGTTGGTGATTATTTCAAGACATGCGGGCTCGGAAAAGGGATGGAAAACGATGGACCAAATGATCAGCAAGATGAAGCAGAAGTGAAGAAGAGGAAGTACACAGGTCGCTGGGGAGGAGGATGGTCCCGGAGGACCCCAAGCTCGGAAAACGTGGGACCCACTAACTGCCTAATCGATAAGTCAAAGTTCCAAGAATGGGAGGGGCGTTTGGGTCCACTTTGTGGCTTGACTCTGCGTGTGCTGACTAAGAAGTCGGAGCCTGCAAACAAATTTCGACTTCAACGATCACGACGCTCGCCAGATTAGCTCGAGGTTGAGAGCTCATCCGTACACAGCTCCCCACCATCGGTAAGTCTGCACCGCCCCGGGATCTATTGTAATCAGCCCAATTGAGACGGAGAGAAAGAATAGGCTCCTAACTCCCAAACCTCTCCAGGCAACATGAAGTTCGAACGCCTGCGTCCCTGCCTGCGTAGGTTGGCGCCGTCCAACAGTTTTACTTTCGCTGGCCAAATTCGATCTATTCACCAGTCTGGACGTGCCAGGAAGATCCCAGAGCCCAAACCATTCGTCCCTGACGTAACGACATTCCTGACCCTGATCGGTAGAGGTCTCAACAAACACGCAAACAAGTTCCCCTCGTGGGATTCTCTCTTTTCCCTGACTGGACCTCAATTAAAAGAACTGGGCATCGAACCAGCGCGAAGTCGAAGATACCTGTTGAATTGGATGAAGCGCTACAGGAAGGGAGACCTCGGACCTGGCGGCGACTTTCTTTTCGTCAAGGATGGTGAGGCCATCTTGAGAGCGGCCACTTTGCAGGAAAAGGAGCTTAGTGGCTCTAAGTTTGTCGTCAATGTTCCTCATCCCGATGACGAACTAGAAACCCCGGCGGAGGTTTTTGGCCGCCCACTTGGTTACGTGGTACGAGGCGCAAAATCGATTGCCGGGCCATACGCCACACCTCTCCCTGGTTCGACCGGTGTGAGCGTCAAGGTTACTGAGGGCATGTGGGAGGATCGTCGGGGGCGTAAGATTGACGGAGGTGAGCGAAGAAGGGCTGAAATTCGCTTCAAGAAGAGATCAGCCGAGAGACGAGCACAGCGGGAAGCAGAGTTTCTCGGACACTAGTACTACGGCTGGTGTGTTCTTTTATGTACAATATTTGTGTATGTATATCGGCGAGCAACTTAAAATCGCTTATTGGCAATCGCCAAAAACACTTTGACCAATCGTGGTCGCGGGCAGGCAATCTATCAATGTGACAGATTGTTAGAACAGCTGTTGCGTTACTCCGTATTACGAGGACCTAGGAGGTTCTGGGATCGGCGTTTTCCCGATGTACCCCGATCAACCTTCTTGTATACTGGCCATACTGCTGTTACCTCCTTTTTCACAAGCATCAGCCAGAAAAGTCCCTGCTACACCGGCAAATTCGCAATCCTTCGGCACAGGAAAGGGGAGAGCTCTCTAACCTTAGATTGATATCAACCTATTGCTTGGCTTGGTCAGAGATCGTTACACTGCAAGTACGTGTTAAACATGCCTCCTTATCCTATTTGGGCCTGCAGGTCTGATGCAGGCAGATCTTCCTACTCACACACACATGCATGTGCATGCCACGAGGCACATCCTGGCACTTCGGATCTCGAGCATTTCAGATTGCTTAGGCTCGCCCCGCACCTCCTCATCAACCTCTCTGTCACTCTGTAAGGGGAGGGGCAGACATACTGGTGGGGTTGCTTTGGGAGATCATGCACAATCGCTGTGTAACTTGATGTACAAGGGATAGCCTAGTGGGCGAGGGGTGTATATATCGTTGCATCCTACTTGCAAAAGCTGTGGAAAGCACCTGTAGATGGATGAATCTCCCGAGTTAGATGCTCTCTGCTCTTTCTACCTGCTACTGGATGACGTTTATGCTTCTTCTCCGACGCCCGATTGGTTGGTGAAGCTTGAGGAATACCATATATCCCTTTTCGACGGGTTTAATCATGGAGAAGATCGCGTATTTAGGTTGCCAGGTATCATCACACTCTCCTTTCTAGAGACTGCAATGTCTTATGGCATAATGACGATAAATGCGACCAGAAAGACGGAAAATGCAGGAAAGACTACAATGAAACATAGACATGCAACCGGCACCGCAGGTCTTCCGAGCCGTATCGAAACATGTGAGTTTACATTACGACCATTATCTTCAAAGACTTCTAAACGCAGACTACACGAAAGTACTAGCGATTACAAATATATCATCGCCTATAGGTATCTCATTGCCGACCTGCTCCCACCGACGATCCTCAAATGCCGCGCCGTATATCAGGCTAAAAGAAGCTTAGGGGACTTTCGCTTTCCTGCCATGGCGAAACTCTCGGCGATATTATGCGTACAACCCGCAGCGGGTGCTGCAACCAACGGTTGTTGCTGATCGCCAGGGACGAAAGTCTGTTCCGCTCACTGGTGATGCACGTGACTTCCATAGCACCTTCCATGCCTGCCGAGAAAGTCGAATCCTCATAAACAACTTGTTCGCCCTGCCAGTTCTAGGTCTTTTTATCTCCCATCAAGTCTCATGGCTGACCAGAAGCCCCAACCATCAAATCGAGCACGCGCAAAGGAAGGCCACCTCCATTTGGTAGCGGAATCTCCAGTTGGTCGCTGTGGTGCCAAGCTAGGCGTATTCGAGCTTTGAAATTGGGGGGTTTTCAAGGCCACGACGACATCAAGCCGCACAGCTCGCTTGCAAAACCATTATTGATATTTCTCAACCCGGGAGATAGAATATCCAATCCTTCCTGGAAGGGATCTCTATGGCATCGAGCAAGCGGCTGGCAATCTGCCGTAGAGCGTCAAGTTTGTCGAGCTCCCACCACCAATGTCCCATTCGGCAGCGACATACTTGGATAACCCTGGTTACATTCCCACTGGTTTCGATTTCGGAGTCCGCGCACTTACCCCCAAAGCAGATGGTTGCTCTTCCCGCAGAGGGATCTGCATACTTCTTGCCTACGAGCTTCTTTTCTTGGTGGGTAGGAAAGATAATCGTTGATTCATCGTTTCATAATACCGGATCGTCATGCTAGTCTTGACGCCTACTGATTCCAGGACACCCTTAGATATTAATACTACGCCAGCTATCTGTCAATGCATCCGTCCATCTGCACTCCCACCTTGGACCCCCCTGCCCCATGCCTTCAGCTGGCTGCACTTGTCCCTTTTCAGAATGCTGTGCGGCGGAAATCATTACCGATGTATACCGGCTGCCTCAAGACCATTCTTCGATATCTTCATTCGTCTGAGGATGGCAGACCGTACCTGTCACAGGACGGGATGGCGTTTGGGGGGCCACCCAACTCACCAACTCCAAGGGCAGGGAAGACAGCGAGACCCGAGGATGTTACCCATCTACCACGGGCCACCTACGGGTGAGGCGTATGCATGATTTCGTCAGAGCAATACGGACCAATCAACTTTCCACTTCTACGTTGATAATATCGGTCGCTCTAATGTCATCATTCACCTTTACGAGCATGCGTCGCGAACGTGCTCAAAGTGCTGGCTTTGAGCATCTGACTCGGTTCATCTGAAGGGAATTAAACATGAACGGCTCCATGAGCGTTGCCCCCATGCGTCTAAGGATTTAAGCTGTGTCGACTCTGTTTGGTAGATTTCCCACATTCGGTGGAGGGAAGACGGGTTGAACGGAAGCCAGTCCCCGGACCGGCAAGTATCCATGTCACCTGTCACTACTTCAGCAATATTGCCAGCCTACTCCCTCTTCAATCCCATCATGGGTCTTTTGTCGCGCTTTTCGCTCCCTTCGTTCCCTTCCGCTTCTTGCATAGGTACCAGCAATTGATCGTCATGTACAGACTAAAGTTAACGAAGGCGGCTGAGCATGGGCGCTGTGGCTACATCATTCGACACACGGCCGGAACAGAGAAAATCCACCATGACTATTACTTCTTAGTAAGGAGAATTGAATGGAGCATAGAATTACAACGAGCAGATGTGCTAACGTCGTCTGGTCCTACCCCGGTCGATCGATTGAGCGAGGCCTCCTTCTACAATGGAAACGACCTTGTTCAGCCGAATTTTTGTCGTCAAATTACATCTCTCCTATGTCCTTTCACTGCGCGGAGTATCTAAGACGTTGTTTAAACATACGTCACGAGTGTTGACCAAACCTAAAACCGCGACTACCAACCTTGACACCAACAACCAGAAAAGCAATTTCATTGCAAACCTGGAGAGCATCCTTGAGATCTCGCTTAGATGTCCAGGAAGTGAGACGAGAAATCACGTCGGCGGTCATCAATTCTCCCTAGGGAATCGTGCAGCAGGCTTACACGGCACAGACATGCATCAGTAACGCATGTGAGTATATTTAGGTAGGGCGCCTACCTTGGTTCCCCACCACCGACTTTTCATTGGATTCCTGTGCAACATTGTCTCTGACGCTAGGTCGAGACTCAAGCCTGTCCTCAGACTTCAGACAGGCATTTAACAGCAACCCACCAAAAAAGTTACGAAAAGCCGATACAGTATTGCAGAGAAAACTTTCTGCGGCCGCATTTAGCCCCGAGTCCTACTTGGCGATGAGTTTACGGTGTGGCACAGCTCTTACCCCCTCTACTCTCGCATTCCGTATCTGACGACTGAGGATGACGACTTGGTAAGAAGGCCTCACTAGGGTAACGCCCCCCACCCAACACTTGGACACTCGTCACAATCGGAGGAAAGATCAGGAGAGGAACATGTAGGAGGCGGCCTGGTACCTTCTCGTGCAGCGGGATTCAACGCGATTGGTAAATGGTGCAATTGCCCATCACTCACCTGTAAGTAGGGTCTGAAACTGGCAGAAGATCAGTGGGTGACAGCTGGGTTGGGGGGTGTGTCTCCAGCCTGTGCAGGAGAGTAGGTCTTTCATTTACTCTGTTGGGCATGCTTCACGACATCAATCGGGAGCACAATGGTGTTCACCTTGGCTCAACAGAGTAGACGCAACCAAATCCCAGAATGGGAACCAGCAAAGTGAAACAGCCAAGTGGCAATGGTAATGGCAGGCAGGCACACGCCGAGAGACGGGTGGTTGATGCCACCTGGGACGACTTGATGGTCTGTCAACGCTCAGCAAAGTACATGAATGGAGCCCTGTACTACATCTCCTTCCATTTCTGCGAGCCTTTGGGCGCTTGCCTCATTTCTGGATATCTTGAGGCTAGGTATACTGCTGGCAGATTTGAGACTTGGAGAAATCGGTTGAATTTGGGATGGTGGAACCATGACGTGGTTTGCCGGAGAATAAGGCGACATGATGGCTTCCATCCGACTTGTCTCTGTTCAGCTCGCCCGCTGTGCTCCTTGTCCCAGGCGGCACCTGGGTGTCTGGAGGCTGGATTCCTGAGAAAGTTCCTCCATTGTCTCCGCCGCGGAGAGCTGAAAACGCCCCTGGCGCCGAGCGGGAGAGCTCGAAGCTTGCGCTGGCCAATAGCCTCCAACTGCCGGGCGTGGGAGGGGCCCGTGAGCCACCACGACGAGACATCTCTCTCTTGAGTTAGGCCGTTGACGTGCATCCTCCAACTGGGCCGGCCCACCCACTAAATATGTCCCTCGGCCTCGAAGCTAAGGTAAGCTAGCGGGCAGGCTAGGTACCTACCCGACCCTAAGCAGGGCCTGCACACACCATCCTGTCTTAGTATGCACCTCTCTGCCTCTGCCGCGAGCTGTGGGCGGCCTTCGTCGCCTTGTCGCCAGGGTGCCTCTGCCCATCCCAGCAGCCAAGGTCGTGGATGGAGTCGTACAGGGTGGGGCTGCTCGGGTCTCTTCTCCACCCCCACTCAACTGCTCAACCAAATTCAAGATGAACCTACAAAGGTCCTCCTCGAAGGCTGTCCTGGGCTTCTTGACGGGTACCCATCTGCCCACTCCCATGTCATCATGTTTTGCTTTCATCTGCGGCGGCCTTCCTCGTGCAGACTAAATCCTTGAGCGATCGGTGGATACGCACTATACGAATCGCCTTTCCTATCAGGGAACAATAAGGAGTCCGCTTTAATCTGGCAGGCGCTGATATCCCCAGATGATATAGGAGGCAGGGGTGATTGGATGTTGTAGGGCCGTCCATTACG